TGGACGAGGGTATTATGCACAAATAAGTTCGGAAATTACTAGTGAATTTCCGGGCGTGACACGTCGCCCGCGCCGTCGGGGGGCTCCTCGACCACCGCCACTGCATGGATTCGGGGTAGGCGAGGGAGGAGGCCGGAGGGGGAGAGGAAGGGGCGGTGCCACGTTGGTGGCTGGAGCGGGGAGGGAGGGGCGGTTGTGGAGGGCGACGGCTCGATCTGCCCCGCGCGGCCCCGCCGCCGAGGGGAGAGGCCAGAGGGGGAGAGGGAGCAGAAGAACGAAGGAGAGGAGACCATCGGTTGAGGTTGAGAGACCGACAGGGGGGAAGACCGACAAAAAGAGGACATTTAACTTTTGCCAGTTTTAAAAGTTGGTCTTTAAGAATTTGTCACTCGCTGCCTATAACATGTGTGCTCTTATGTGTACATATGGATTAGTGCTAAATTCTTTATCACCACTTGTAAAAGTGGCAAATACTTATTCTTTAAAAAGGGATAATTTTATTTTCATGGAGCAACTTAAGGTTACAGGCTCAGGGTTCACAATTACGACGAAAACCGGTCGAATTCCACGAAATTTCGAGGTTTCGACAAGGCTCGAAAGTAGAAGCCGTCTAAGATTTCGATGAGTTTCATTCAAATTCAAATTTGAATTGATAAAAAAGGAAACAATCAAATAAAATCTTATAAATGGTATGATATTCATAGAACCTATTGGGATATAAATTTTCAAAAGAATTAATGTATTTCGTGTATTTACTGAAATTTACAGTAGGAAAGAAAAGAATAACGAATTAAAAAAAAGGAAAAAATTCAGTTTCCCTCCTTTTCTAATTACTGATTGAAATTTTGATGATTTCGCTCGGAATTTCGCCAAAGCCGACCGGTTTTCGCAAGCTTATCGGTAAATTCAGGGAATTTGTATTCAAATTTTGATTTATCAAATGTGTTCAGAATCTACCGGCTTTCTAGCGGATTTCGCAAAAACCGTCATTCCGCCAGAGCCCGAAACGGAAGGCCATCTCGGAATTGTAAACCCTGTTACAGCACTGAAACTTGTGTCTAACATGGTAATTCAACCTATGTGGCATGTGAGGTTCAAGAATTATATGTGCCGCACTACTGCTGCCCTTACAGTTTCATGGTGTTATCTTTGTTGAAAACAACTCCATCAATCCTAATTACTCAGCTGATTTATACATTTTAAAATTTATCTTGAAATAAATTAAAATTTTTGCTTTTTTTCCTAGGGAGTTGCTAAAAAAAATTGGCACAAGATTTTATAGCTAAAAAACTTTCAAATATAATTATAGTACAATTACACAGTTTAACTATAAATGTAACTATTATTATAATTATAATTATAGTGTAACAACATTGCAACTTCTCTATATAACTTATGTATAAAGTTACATGCACATTTTTAATACTTAAGTTATATAAAATTTATAATATAGTTGTCAAAAATAATTAATTATATTATAGTTACATTTGAAAGTTTTTCCTAGACAAGTTTTTTATAGTCCATTTACCTAGTATCATCCATAAGATGTTCTTTTAATACACTTACCTATCCATCCATTAATATTTTTCTATTAATAAGAGGCACTTTGGTTTTTTATACTCATCGTTAATATTTTTCTCGATATTTTAAGAATTTATTTTTCTCTACTACTGTAAATGTAAAAGTGAAGTCTTCTCCTCCACCACCCTCGTACCTCCCTCGTCACATAGAAGATTCACCCCATGTACAAAAATACAGTGTTTCTATTAAAAAAATCAACCCAACATAAAAAGATTCTGTAAAATCAAAGGTGTTTTTTATTATTATTCTGTGATGATCAATTGGGCATTGGAGATTATTGGTTTTGTTATTTAGAATTTATTCACGAAATGATTTTGGAGATGATTGGATTTCACAGGTGATCGTAGGATTCTATCATTTTATGTGACCGGTCGGACCGGGCAGTGTGTGCCGGTCAGACCAGCGGTGATCGAGCGGTCGGACCGGCCAGCCCGCGGTCTGACCGGCCAACGCTGTGTCGGTTTCGGTTTCGGGTTGTTCGTTTGGATATCCGTGATTATTTCATGATTATGACTTCTAGATGGATACTATACGTATGTAATACTGTTGTTTGCTACTAATGAGTCAAGTTGGAGATAGCTTGGTCTCGGAATATGGTTTCTTTGTTTATTTCATGTGTAGGTGACTCGATGTCTCGGGATAGTATTTGCGGTGATGGATCGGGAGTCGGCTTGGGGATAAGACGACGTCCGTGGTGGTCAGAGATTATGCGGGATACTAAGGCTAGAGTTGATGCACGTGGTTGATGGAGATTCCATATGGTATACGATGGAGGTATTGTGTGCGTATGAGATGCGGAGTCGAATTTGGAAGGAGTCCAAATTTGGTATGATTGGTTATGTAAAGTTTGTGTCTTGTACTAGAGGGTTTCCTAAGGTGTTTAGGACTTCTAGTATGAGTTTGGTCCGTGACTTTAGGTTGCCTACCTCATGTATAAATAGAGGGGGAGCGTGAGGCTTCCCGGTATCGCTTTTGAGAGCAATTGAGTTGAGTTTTGAGTTAGGGTTTCCAGTTTAGTCGAAATTTTTGTAAGGAGTGTTGTTGGTGCACTTTGTAAACACAGAGAGAATCAATAAAGTCGTCATCCACTTTAAGAGTTCTTCGATTTTTGTTTACCGGGTTTTAGCGGTCTAACCAGCAACTCACCAGCGGTTAGACCGGCGAGTACATGGCGGTCAGACCGGCGGCGACAGCAAGCGCGGCAGGCGACTTCGGCGGTTCGACCGATCGATCTACATCGGTCAGACCGACGTTCATCAGGCGGTCAGACCGCGATCCGTCGAATTTGAGGGTAACTTTTATTTCCACTAAAAGTTTTCGGTTTTTGGATATACCAACCATTCACCCCCCCCTCTGGTTGGCTTAGTTCCTGTGATTCGATCCTACAGATTCTCCTTAAAAAACTATAGAGAAAATCCATGAATTGCCATCGACAAGCACCCTAATTCCAGAAATGCCATCAACAAAAGCAAACTTCCCAGAAATGCCATTGCACAAGTCTCTTTCTTCCCAAAAATGCCATCACAGTCAAACTGCTATTAACATATCTCCATTAAGTTGTATGAAAAGACAATCTTACCTCTATGCAACTATTTGCTCACACAGCATCATTTTGCAGTGTGTGCTCACACAACATTATTCATATTTCTGTTAGCACGTAAATTCACAGACATTATTATTTTGCTATCAATCAAATCATTTCAGAATTAAATTCACAGAAATCAGATTCAAAAAAAATTTCACACATTCGCCGCTTCCGGACTCACTGCACATGCAGCAACTCAGCATTTCTGCATCGTAAGAGAAATCCAAAAGAAACTTCACCTACCACTGGTCGTCGGCGAGGAGCGTCGATGCGGTGGGGAAGTGAGCACAGCGAGAAAGAAAAAACCCCGAGGCCAATGTCCACTGCTCCCGGTTCGCGAGGCAAGAACGGCGACAGCGCCATCTCCACTCCGAGGTCCGGTAGCTATTCTTTGGGAGGAGGAGCAGGGATGGAGCCATCGGTGGGGCTTCCGCCGCTGGAAACCCGCCTCTCCCCCACTACCAGGAAGGCTGGAAACCCACCGCTGGAAACCCGTCTCTCCCTCGCCTCCGCTGTGGACCGCCGCGCCGCCACCGTGGACTGCCGCCGAGCCCCGCGCCACCGCCGCTGTGGACAGCCTCGCCGCCGCCTGCAACCTCCTCGTCGCCGCTGTGGACCGCTGCCACGCCGCCGTCGCCGAGCCCCCGCACCCCGCTGGAAACCCGCCTCTCCCTCGCCACCGCTGTGGACCGCCGCACCGCCGCCGTGGACCGCCGCCTCGCCGTCGCCTGCAACCTCCTCGCCGCCGTTGCCGAGCCCCGCACCACCGCCGCCGTGGACCGCCGCGCCGCCGCCGGGAGAGCCGCCTGGATTGGGTTCGGTTTAGGGTTAGCGTTAGAAATTTTCACCGTTTCATCTTTCTTTTTCTTTTACCGTGAAAACTGGTATATCCTGCACTGAGGGTAAAATGGTCATTATCAAAAAAAATAACGGTTGTAACGGTGTAGAGTTGACTATGATGGTATTTTTGGGAGAAAGAGGCTTGTACAATGGTATTTCTGGGAAGTTGCTTTTGTCGATGGCATTTCTAGGATTAGAGTGCTTGTCGATGGCATTTCATGGATTTTCTCAAAACTATACAATTGTTACTATTGGATATATATGAACTTGTAGGTTTCGATACAATTGTTACTATTGGATATATATGAACTTGTAGGTTTCGATACAATTGTTACTATTGGATATAGTTTCGTTCGGTGACCGCTACTCCCTCTGTCCCAAAAAAACTCAACCTAGGAGGGGCACAATGAATCCTTGTCCAAATTCGTTGTCTTAGGAGAGGCCACATCCCCTCCTAGATTGAGTTTTTTCGGGACGTAGCGAGTAGTGCACTAAGTCAAGTGACACATTTTGTCGTTCCATGTGTACGGGCGCTATTAGGGCACTCACAGTGCGCCGTGAATTTTGTTGAATTCCGTTTGGCCTCGGCTGCCAAACAGGACTCAAGAACTCCAAAAGACACAAGGTCAGCATTGCGTTTTCGCCTCCAAAAGACGCCTGAGACGTTTTCCCCAGTCTCGATCGAGGCAAAGCACGAGTAGCAAACTTTGGTCATACGCGCTTCAATTTCGTGAGCCCAACCAATAACATGGCAGCGAATTTTTACTGTTTGCATACGTGGAACGCTCAGGCCGAACGCCTGCGCACAGCACTGTTGAATGGCCTTACCATGTACTCCCTCCCTCCCACCCCTCCTAGTATAATGAATCAGGACTACCCTTTATCCAGATTCATTGTTCTAAGAGGGGTCACGTCCCCACCCCTACTAAGTTGAGTTTTTTTTGGGACGGAGGAAGTACACGGCACAGAAAAAAAGAGCACGTACAACACAATATACAGGCGAACATTATTTTTATTTTGTTTTCATACCATATACTAATGCTAATAATGCTCACATTTTATTAATCTTCTTCCAGTTCAGGCTAACAACAAACAGCTGCTACGCTATACCAAAAACATATACGAATTTGTTTCTCAATGCAAAAGTTCTTTCCCGAAGAGCCCAGCAATGGCTCGTCCAGGGTCGTCTTGCTTGACCAGGGATTCTCCCACCAAAACCTACAGCATCAACAGACACGCTTAAATTTTCAGCGAATAGGATTTGTAGAAATGCGAATGAATTTCAGCAGGAACATGCAATTTTATATTGATATATTGTAGCATATTTCCTTCCTATAGCATATAATTTTGGACGACCACAAATCTAACATTGACTCTTGTCATTAAGGAAAAATTCGAGGTAAATTGACAAGTGAAAACCGCACAACTAGTGAGAAAAGGGAAATCTGTACTAACTAACCCAATTTCTCAGATGTTTCAACAAGTTTGTCGAATACTGAAATCGTATAGGACTAGTTTACATTAATCCACAAGTAATTTGAAAACTTACAGCGGAAACTCCAGCATTTTGCACATAAGCAACGTCATCTGGGTTGAACAGCCCTGATTCGCCAACAACCTGAAAACCCATCATAAGTTGGATAAAGACCAGCACAAACTAGCACCCTAGGTGTTTCAGCAAACCTAACTATCCAAGGAACCAAAAGTCAAGTCAATATCACTACAAAAATTTATGGATAACACTAAACCCTAACATTTCCTTTGATAGTAATGTCATGTGCATGTACATTGTTACGAACAATTGGAAAATCTCATCCTGATATACCAACAAAAATCACTTATTTCTTCAATACTTCTAGTAGTTCATCTAGAATGCACAACAGAGTACATATAATGCTGAATAGACAAACAGGTCATTTCAATCTTCTATTGAACAGAATATGTGCTTGCTGGAAAGGCTACCATTAAGGATGCATGATCTGTTACAATACTAACAGGATATAATTTGAATCTAGTCTAGACTACTAGGTTACAAAGATCCGACACAATAAATTGTTTGTGTATGGCAGGATATTGAATGAACAATAGCTATTGACTGAAGTTGTCTTCTTTTTTTTTTTTTTTTGAAACCGTCAGCTATTGAACGAAGTCAATCATAAGGTTATGAATTCTTAGCATTTGTAAAGATTGTGTTGATGTACCAAAGAATCCATTCTCCCATATCATTTTCCTCAGCAGTATACATAAATTGCATAAAGTTTACACATAAATATATCTGACATAATTAATTTTCTATTTTCCATTTGCTGTAAAATAGACTGTCGCAAACATTCAGTCAGTGATAACAGTAGATGCAAGTTAAGAATTCAACACAATAAAAGAACAGGCGTCCAAGTGCCTACTTGTCATACAAAGTCAGTAACCATTTACCTAAGATTCCAATATATAGAATAACAGTACTAACATTTGATTGAGTTGAACAGATGCATGAAAATACAACTAGTGAATTGTCACACATTAGCATGGGATATTACCAATATTCCCTTCTCCCTGATGGTATCACCATGCATATCTAGCAACATCTTTGTGTTTGAAGTATCGACAACAAATGTTTCTGCAGTGTAAATATTTTTGGAAGTAAGCAGGAAATACTATTTTATCGAATAGTAAGGAAAACATTGATTTTTAGACAATGAAAGTGAACTTGCTTGCTAAAGATTGCAACATGTTGGGAAAAAAGTGAGCACAAGAAAAGTATCATACCAAGGCTGCGGTTATTGATGCCAATAAGCTGAACTCCACTTATATTCAGCACACGCTCCATCTCCCTTTCATCATGAACCTAAAATAACATCACCGGATAATAGAATAAAAATTAAGCTTGGATCTGTGCAGATTATTAGAGTGTAATCATTTCAGTTATTAACTCAAATAGTACATGTTAACAAAAAAAATCTGAAACATCATATAAGTTATGGTATTTGTTTTCCATATAAATGTGAATATGAGACTTATCTCCACGAAACATGCTTCACCACCACTCCATAGGCCAGTTTAAATCCCGTTTAAATGATGTAAGCTAGTTTTCAATTCATGGGACCCTCCAGAATTAAAAAAAAAATCATTGTTACAAAATATAAAGCAGTGACTAACCTCAATAAGAGCTGTCATTCCCAACTCCTTACATATGCGAAGGAAGTACTTTATGTCGAGATCAGGTAGCACAGCGGCAATAAGCAGAATTGCATCTGCGCCCTGAGAGCGGGCATAATAGATCTGCCATTTATCGATGACAAACTCTTTGCATAGGAGAGGGCACTGCATTTACACAAGATATGTACATCTTGAGAAAAAAAATGGTAATACACAAGCATTGTCTTCATGTTTAAATAACACATATATCAACCAATACCTTCACTCCTGACTTCCGCACCTTTGCGAGATTTTCAAAACTTCCCTATCAAATAAAAGAAAGAATTAGCTTAGACCAGTAAAAGTACATGTTCCAATTCCAAATCCATTAACACATCCAATTCCAAAGCCACCTGAAAATACTTCTCATCGGTCAAGATGCTCAAGCATGCAGCACCATTCTTTTCATAAGCCTGAGCAATTTCAACCTGCAACAAATTTCACACTAGTTATGTAACCAAGCTTTGAAGTAGCAGCGAAAATGACAACTAAGAAGCCAAAATCTCACAGGATTGAAGTTCTCCCTGAGCACACCCCTACTTGGCGATGCCTTCTTGACCTCAGCGATCAACGCTGGCATACCATTGCGCTTGAAGGCTGATGCTAAAGCACCGTAGAAGTCTCTTGCAGGAGGAGCCTGCCCTGCAGCCTCAATCACCTCCTTGAGAGGCTTCTTGGCATGCCCCTGCACAAGACCAGTAACAGCAATCAGCCATTGTACGAAGTATCAAGAATGAACTACAGAAATCGTTTCTCCAAACAATATTAGAAACAGACACAAGCATGTCATTTGGCGTCCAGGTACACAATTTTATTTTTAGGTAATATTCCCTTGCCATTAATTAGAAGAACCACAAACTGAGCACATCTTCCGAGGGATATCAAATATTAAGATGAAAAAAAAGAAAAGATTAAGCATCAAAAATTCTCCTGCACCTTGATCTTGAACATCAAGTATCAACAGCATAGCTAATGAATGAGTGTGATTTGTACCAAACTAAATTATTGAGGTAATTGATTTGGGTTTATGGTTATATACATACCTCGGCTACCTCAACCTCCTTGTCCCAAATGATCTTCTCCAGGATGTTGCGGGGAGCACCCAGCTCCTCCTCGATCTCCTTCAAGGGGACATTGGGACGGCAGTGCCTGCGGATGCGGATCCCTTGACTAGCCGCTATGTCGTTGATCGACTTGCCGTTCTCCCACTGCGCTAGCTCCACCGCGTTCACCATGTCGTCCTGCGCTAGCTCCTCGAGTATGGAGTCCTTAGAGAAAAATGGAGGAGCATTTCAAGAAACGACGGATATAAACAGGAAACAAGAAATACTCCGAAATGGCGCTCAAAAGAGGGCAAAAAAAACACCATGTAGACTTCGAATCCGTGCTCAAGAAATGGGGAAAATAAAAAGAAAAAGAAAGAACCTACGCGGGTTGGATTACAGCAAGATTGAGGCTAGAAAGGGGGAAGAAACACTTAAACCTAAGATGAAAGGAGATCAGGGGTACTCACCTTGGCCCCGCAGCGGAGGAGCGAGCGGGCGCGGGCGCGGGCGCCGGCGCCGGCGGGCGTGACGGCGAGGCGAGCCCGCGACGGGGAGCGGGAGGCGGAGGAGGCGCAGGGAAAGGAAGCCCTGTAGACAGAGGGCGAGGCGAGGAGGGACTCCATCGCACGAGGAGCACGAGGTGGGTGGGTGGGTGGGAGGGTTGGTGGGATACGGATACGACGACGGGGAAGAGCCGGCGGCGATGGGGTGTCTCTCCTCGTCGCAGGAGAATGGGGTTTTGATTTTATAAGCCAAGGCGGGGGAGGTGGCGACGGCGGTTAGCACAATTCGCAGAGGCAGCGACGGTCCGAGGCCGGAGCTGACCGACGTGACGGGGCAGTGATGAAAGCGATGCCCACAAGACACGGACCCGTTCCCAACTTGGCCTCCCCTGGGCCTGCCTCGTGTTCTCTCGCTCTTTTCGTTCCTTTTTTTCATATTATTTCATAAACAAACAAAATACTAGTAAATTATTTTTAAAAGGTCCTACATCTATCCTAAAATATACAGTCCGTATTAAATTTTAAAATGAAGGTAATTTTGTCTTTTACTCAGTCCATCCATCAAGTTAGAAATATTGTATCCTCAAGTTACAATATTTTGAAATGTTGATCATAAATAACTTATGAGATGCTTTCTCTAAAATTAAATAAAATGCATGTATAGATTTATCTTAAAAAAATTATACTATCATAGTATGATTCACTTATTTAATTTTATAAACTCGTTTTAATATCAAATTATTGGTCAAATTTTAAATGTTTTCATAAAATTTTATCCTAAATAATAAACATTTATGGGAAGTATACTATATTTTTCTGCAGCATAAATATTAACTAGGAAAGCTAGATTTTTTGTGTAGGTTTCATCCCTATATATAGTCATAGCTTATTCATCAGGTTATTAAAATGAATTATTTGCTATATGCATCGAAAAATATGTTTTCTAACAAAATAAAGCATAACAATAATAGTCGTGAAACGGATTATTCATGTTTGCATTATAATATGCTAAAAGTGGATGTTGTAATATGCTACGTACTCCAAGCCAACCCTAGGATGCAAATCAACATATTGGTTTATTGAACCAACGTGGTACCTAAGAACATGGCCAATAAAGACTATCAGCGGTCTCAACATGTCATATACTAGATAATATCCCGCGCTTTGCTGCGGGATTTATGAATGAGTATATGTTAAATACTATTGAAATGATAAAAGCTAAAAAGTTGAGAAAATAATGTGAGAAAGATGATTAACACATACTTGTTTATCTCTATAATATAATATTGTAGATGATATGCTATGCTTGTATGGGATTTAAAATATACTAGAATAATAGTAATTGCTAGTGAGTGAAGATGTGGCATACTTGCATGGGATTTTAAATGGGCTAGAATAGTAATTGCTAGTGGGTGATGATGTGACATGTTTGCATGTTGAGCTTTAGCTTCTAATAATTGTTAATGGGTACCAACTATATAGAATGTATAGATAGGATAAAGCCACAATAAAGACCACTTAAAGGTATATTTTGCGTTTTAGTCCTTAATTATTTTTTGTCAAACCTTATAGTACTATTTTTATTACCAAATCAACTAAAACTTTTATATTTTAGACCTTACAACAATAAAAATATATATATATATATATATACTCCTAACCTCTATATGGACCCAGCGCAAACCTCTCCCCCCATCTTCTTTTTCTCTCCCTTATCCCACTCTCTTTCTATTCCGCCACCATCCATGGATCCTCTTCTCTTGACAGTAACATCTTCTCAGCCACTAATGTCACCTTCTCTTCCACCGTTGTAATGCCGCCTCTCCCCCATCTCCTTATCTATGAGCGATGGCAAATGATCCTCACAGCGACGGCGGATCTGGCCGCAAGCTCACTAGCCTTTCCCCCCTCCCCTTCTCTACGAGTGGTGGCGGAGGATCCCCACGGCAGCGACAGACTTGGTCGCGAGCTCACAGGACCTGCAGTGGCGAGGAGCAACGACTATCTCGCTGAGAGCCCTCAACAGTAGTGGTGAGCGGTGACAACCTCGGTTACAGCAAGCAGCTACAACCACAACAAGTCCGGTTCTGTTTCTCTTTTCTCCCGAAAGCGTGTCGCGGGGCTCCGGACTTGCCCAAATACGTGGCCCCGAGTAGGGGTGGAAACGAGCCGAACCGAGCCAGGCTTGGCTCGGCTCGTGGAAGCTCGCGAAATGCCAGGCTCGGCTTGGCTCGGCTCGGTTCTCCAACCGAGCTATACATTAGGCTCGGCTCGGCTCGTGGTCTGGCTCGAGCCGGCTCGAGCTGGCTCGTGAGCTTTGCAATAGCAGCAGTTGTATTGCCAGCAGCAGTTGTGTTGCTTTGCAATGACTTGGTTATTCAGATAATAACTCTCAAGTCCCTACAAAGATAATTAGGTATATTGTATGCAGCCAACATATAACAAATTGATGGGGTTTTTTGGTTTTCGGCCAGAAGTCTTTCTATTCAAACCGAGCCTACTAAGCTCGTGAGCTGCTCGCGAGCTGGCTCGGGCTCGGCTCGGTTCACAAACGAGCTAAAACCCAGGCTCGGGCTCGGCTCGTTTAGGATTCGAGCCGAGCCGAGCCAGGCGAGCCCGAGCCGAGCTTGAGCCGAGTTCACGAGCCCGAGCTATTTGTCCAGCCCTAGCCCCGAGCTGTGTCTTTGTAGCTCCCGACCCGAGGCACGACAAGGCAACCAGAACCTCTGTAGGTCGTGCATGGTGTCGTGAGACCTTGGTCCCTACCGCCACGAGCGTTTAGGTCCGACATGGAGGCTCGAGACCACTTTATACAGTGGTGCATTGAGTATGGCCTTAAGCATGGAGGATCAGAGGAGCTCAGCAGTAAGATGAGTACTAGCACATGATTGATCAGCAGTAAGATGAGTCCTTCTAGCACATGATTGATCACAGTGCTTGGTGAGAACCTGCGGTTGTGCAACACATATAAAAGAGTAAAGTACATGTTCGACAGAAATCACTCGTATCCTCGTACTCATAAAATGCAGAATAAGCAAACTAGTGTTTTTCTGTTCAGCACTAGTCCAAATTAGTAGTCCTAACCCATTCTGTGAGCTGAAATGGCATTGCGTAATTTGGTGATTGATGAAACATGTTCTTGCACCATAGTCCATAAATATTGGTACTTGGTAAAGAGGAGTTCCCAGCCATTCACCATGTGGTTTTTTCAGGTAATCTCAGATCATGTGTCCATGCTTTAATTTGTTTGTTCGTGGGCAAACAAGGGATGAGGCGGCCAGGCTGCGTTTGCAACCCCTTTCCAAACCGCTCTCCCACGTTTTCAAACTGTTAAACAATACGTTTTTTAAAAAAAAAAATTCTATACGAAAATTGTTTAAAAAATCAAATTAATCCATTTTTTTAAAAAAATTAGCTAATACTTAATTAATCACGCGCTAATGAATCGCTCCGTTTTCCGTGCAAGGTGTTGGTGTTGGGAGTCAGGGGTGGTGAACACACCTGGCCGTGTTCGGAAGAGTAAATTCCCAACACTCCCCTCTCGTTTTCCACGTGCACGCTTTTCAAACTGTTAAACGGTGTGTTTTTTAAAAAAGTTTCTATACAAAAGTTGTTAAAAAAATCATATTGATCTATTTTTTTAAAAAATAGCTAATATTTAATTAATGACATGCTAATGTACTATTCTGATTTCCATGAGAAAGTTCCCATCCACCCCTAGCGACCACAGCAAGGGAATATTCGATCCAGCCAATCAGTCGCATAAAGCCATCCATATCTTGCTCCGGATGACCTGGCCACTTCTGATTGGTTGCGGTGAGTTTAATTTCTTGTTTGTAAGCTTCAAATGATTTTCTCATAAATCATTTTCTAATTAAATCCGATTAACACTGTTTTATTCATTATAGTTAAATCATCTTCGGTGATTATATTTTACTGAAAAAAATTTAAATCATCTTCGGTGACAAGTGAGCCGCATAAAATTTTAGCTTATCTCAACCATGTTACATCTCTCCAATGAATATAATCTACTCTGGATAACTTCATTGACAATGTTCTAGCTTATGCAATTTAGTATCTCTTTCCACTGGTAGACGACTAGACGTCATCAATATAATCTCGATATGAAGTTGTCAAACTATCCCAAAGCAGTAACATGTATATAAGCATTTTACAGTGTGTAACTGTGGCCATTACGCACTACGGACAAGTTTAGCTTAGATCCATGGCTTCGCCACCTAGTTCGACCTTGTACTCCAATCCGCAACGGCATTTTACTGCATCAGAAACTCCCTACAGGACAAGGAGATGATCAGCTAATCACCACTGCTCAAAGTAGCTTCACCACTCCCTATCGGCAGCATAGTATGGATAAGGTAACCAAACTAGATAGCATCAGCGTACCTTCATTTCATTTATACGTTCTTCAAGAGACTGAAAGTACTCAATTTCTCCAGCTTTATCAGCTTGTAGAGCTTTGTGTTCCTCCTCTAAGGATTTCATATCCATCTGTTGTAGTGGAGCCTGCAAGCACCAGAGTTATACAACATCACAAATGAGAATTAAAAACAATGTTAGAATGGTAGAAGAGCGTGCCTAAACATACAAGAAAGCCAGAAATTGCATTTTTCTCTTGCTCTATGACCTGCTTACTCTGAAAAGTAAAGACATAATCCTTTCAGTTTCACCCAAAAATAGGCATAATACAACTTGCAGATGTCATAGATCTAAGGATGGGTGTCAGAATTGGAGTACTTCGCTGATTTCCGTAAGAAGTGCTGATTGTTTTTCTTTGATCTCGTCGATCTTATGTTTAGTTGACTCCAGTTGAATCCTGAGTTCTCCTTGCTTGCTTCCAATGTCATTTCCCTGTTTATTAGTTAGTGACACTCTGGATCATTTTTAAGAGGATGGGATGAGATATTAATCACCTTATCTAGGCTCCCACATGAGTTAAGTATTCCATGGCTTTGTCCTGCATACAAACAACACAACCAAGTCAATGTAAAGTTGTAAAAATTGTTCATCATTATAACTTAACACAAGATTTCTCTATGTCATCCAATGTTTAGACACGCTACAAGGCAGAGACTGCTAATCTAACACAATGAAAAAAAATTCTCAATTTTAGTGATGCAGCCCAATCAGTTCTAACCATATCAATTGGTGCTTTTAGATTAACAAAGGTTGGCACTGTACTGAGACTCTGGGAGGGAGGGTGGTGAGGAAGACTGTCCAGAAAAGAAGATTGCAGAAACTTCTACTCCATGCTCACCAGTTAATCAAAAAGGAGGAATTAGTTAGATATGTAAATAAACATTATATGATTTTGTTATAGCCTTTGTAAAGAGAGCATATGATGCAAAAATGAGTGGGGGAGGACCTCATCAATCAATGATTTCTAGAATAAACAGTGGTTTGGCCAGAAAAGGGCAGGTGCATATGCCTGAGCTGAATACATAGGAGAATGGACTTCGCTATTCCTTCTTGATCAACACTTAACCTGATCCCTCTTTATACAAGGTCGGCTTCCTAATAATCTAAGCTACGTATAGTAATCAAATATTAATTTAGGTATCTAAATTTCATGCCAACTTTTAGATAGAAATGCTATGCAATTTATAGAAGTCTCCAGAATCCAGATATCTTCTTATCAATTGGTGCCACTTCCACACAAAGCCTGAACTGGTGCAGCTGCACATCGGCTCCTCCTTTGATACTACCAAAGTCAAAGTATAACAGCTTTTAGTTCTAATCCACATGTGCATAATAAATCTACAAGTCTGAAATTTCACAGATTGAGCCAGGAAGTGTAACTCATGCCCCCAACTTCCAAGAATTGCAATCAGTGCAAATGCATTTGTCATATGTCATATGTGTACTTGTGTAGGGCATGCACATATTAAAAGCATGCAGTCTGCTTTGCTTCATGGCCTTCCTCAGCACCTTTCATGGTAGCTAACTCAGAAACACAGATTGATGCAATTAGAACTGACTGGACTGCACAATAACATGTTTCAACTATATAATGAAAAAAAAAAACTGCACAATCAACATACCACATATTGACGCTTACCAACATGGATACAGAAAACCCATGAAAGGACTTAAGTAAGATAGGAAAAAATAGCATTGGAGCCACTATTTATTTCACTTCATATTCAGAAGAGCTGTACCTTGAAGGTTTTGCTTGCTCTGAGACTCTTCAACCTGAAAGTGTATTATAACACACTAATTAAACAGTAGTTGCTTCATTGTAACAGGGCATTGAAATGAGGAGCAGAGGTTACAAGATGATATCATTGAAAAACAAGTGATCCTATCTGCTCGAAATACTTGCAGACTACATGTTGAATATCAAGCGGAAGCTCCCTGATTTTAATAAGCATGGTTGAGATAAGGGCCCTTAGGCCTGATTGAGGTGTATCTGGACAGCTGGACCCAAGTAGCGACAGCACTAAGGGCAGGGGAGAAGAGGGAGAGATCAAAGACTTGTCTGTTGTTTTGGTTAATATATAGACACGAGCCTACACTTACCAATATAAATGAGATCAGTTGATCCTTGACAACTTACCTGTAATTCAACTCCAATCTGAACAGGCTTTGTGAACAGTAACCACACGTGAACAGTACCATGGGTACTGATCATGTACACATTGTTGCGGGCCCTAGAGAGATTGATTACCTCTTAAATATGGGCCTAATGGGTGACACATGGCACTGATAAAATTAAGATGACTTGATAATTTGTCCAAATATTCCAGAATTATTTTCCTTTTACACAAGACTTGGGTTGTCATTAATAAACACAATGGTTATGATGCTCAAATTAACTTTTACTTTGGTAAGTGGTTGCCTTATGGTACAGAGAATTTTTAGTTACTGGTGTTCCTGGTGGGGCATATATACTATATACCTCATGCAACTTATTAGTAGCATAATTGGTGAAGTGAATTTATAAATAGTCCACCCAAGTATTAAACAACATTTGTTGCTTCTGTTCTCTGAAGTTCTATTGGAAATTTGGATTTTGGGTAGGATACCAGTACTGGAATAAACTGGCTAATATATTTTTGAATTTGAATTTAAAATTCAAATTTGAAATTTATAAAATTGCTATAGCCTCATGTGTCACCTTTATGCCATCACATATGCAATAGCCAAAAGAAAATTTATTATGTCTTCAGCTCATGCTAATTGTGCAATGACCTCTAGACATATATATATGTGTGAAAATGTGTTATATTTGCGCTATGGACTCTAGTGATATATGTATCTATGTGCTATATCATGTATAATGTTCATCTCTAATTGGCTCATGTATTATGTTGATCTATAATTTGTTATGGATTCATGCATCATGTTCATTTGGAACTATAAGATTGCACTAATTACTATACACAATTTTCCAGATGGATACTGTTTTCAAATTAAATGTTTGGACCTGAATTTTTCTCCGAGTAAATCTGGTAAATGGACAGTTCTGGCGAATACCAGTATTTCATACCTTGTCATTACTAGCTGGCTCAAAACAAGTACTAGTGTACCACAGTATTAAACAAAAGGGCAATAAGCAATAACAGAACTTATCTCCCTCCGTCCCAAAATGTAAGCATTTTTAGCTATGAATCTGGGCAACTGTGTGTCCAAATTCATAGCCAAAAGTTGCTATATTTTGGGACGGAGGTAGTAGTAACTTGCAGTAACAGTATACATATAAGTTTCTTTACTTACATAAAAATAATCACAAGAAAGGAAAACAATTTCTTCAAATTACAGTAACATATGCGTAAGGCTTACAGATGGTTCAATTGTAATCACCTTAAGCTTAAATGCACCAAGCCATTCCTGTGAAAGAATGGAAAGTGTTACAGCAATGGAATGATAAATCTGGTATACTTCCTCATGGAACATAAAACTGACTAGAAAAGATAAACATAGGACTAAAAAAATATGTTAACCTGTTGCTCTTGTAATTTGACCGTCAGGCTTTCTATTGTCTTTGTGTAGAACAATCTGTCATGAGAGCAGAATTAGCGTAACTACGATTTACAGTACATCCTTTTGAGAGCACAGGCTACACCTTTTCTCAATGAGTTTTGAAGAAGTACTTGCGATTTCCTGATGGAGGAGCTCCAAGGTCTGCAAGTACAATGGAGGAATGAAGACAGAAGTCTGACTGAGAATTTATGAAGTTAGATAGACAAAAACAAAAACAGCAAACAAAAAATGTCCAGATGATAAGAAAGATGCACGGCATACAGAATTTTGGATTATACTACTGTTACAAAAGTCTAATATCAGAGGGCCTTCTGGGGCCTTCCTGCTATATGAAATTTTCATGTGTTGTGGGACTGGGCTAGGGTAAGAGTCTAGGCTGTTACGCCCTTTTGATGAGCTATAAAGACCCTAAGGCTGCGTTCGTTTGGGTGATAGGGAGTGAGAATGCACATTGTTTTCCGCGGACACGCTTCCCAAACTATTAAACGGTGTGTTTTTTGCAAAAATTTTCTATATGAAAGTTGCTTTAAAAAATCATATTAATCCATTTTTGAAATTTAAAATAGTTAATACTCAATTAATCATGAGCTAATGGTTCACCTCGTTTTGCGTATCTTCCCAATCTCCTCAATCCCCTTTTCCTCAAACACACCCTAAGACTTATTGGGCGTTTGGAGTTTTGGACTATCCGTAGAGATTGATTGATTAATGGAAGTAGATATATATCCATCCTTATATGGCATATCTTTAATATTACGGAAAAGATGATTCTAACCGATCTAATCTTATCAAAACTAATTCGTGGCATAGTAATTACATAAACAATATGTGGTGCACCGATGTTACACTACACATGTGAACAATACCCGAGCCCATACCTTAGGCCTCTTCTTTTATAAGCTCATCACAACACGAAAATCAATGGGAAATTTTACATAGGATACAATAAATACCAGTGTTCTAAAAGACAGCACTAGGCGCCAGATAGCTGCCACTATTAGGCAATAGATGGTGCATTAGGTCACTGAACTACCTTGGGAGGTAAACATGTTTGAACTGGTAGCAGTAACAGTTGGTTTTACAACTTATCCCTCCTCTCATATCCTGTTCTCATATCCTGTCAAACAAAACAAATCGCGCTGATAGGTTGGCTCTTCATCCTCTCCATGGATATAAAATACTCGTCCAGTTAAAATGGCATAAAAACTCATGCATGATCAGAAAAGTTATTCAATATGCTCCAATATATAGAAAATCAGAAAAGTTATTTCTGGGGAAAGTAATGCTGTAGAGTTAGAAAGAGATTTTCAGTATATTTTTTCAGATTAGAAGCAAAATATAGAGAAACGTGGTTTGAGTTTTCAAAACACAATCTCAGTACACAAAATACTTGTCAAACCAAAGAAAATAAATACTTATCATCATTGTCATTTCCATATGCCACAAACTTTTTGTAACTTCTAAAGAAATATGCCTCATAACGGTTTATGGTAAGCTCACTAATGTAGTAGTGGGTATTGTGAAAGGTTGTAGAAGTATTAGCATATGTGAGAAGTGTGCCAAAGTTAGTGACAACAAAATTTTTCCCTTGTCTCTAACAATTGGCACATTTTGTTCAGATTAAACTGACAACTGTTCACAGACAGATCTAACTAGTAAATGTAGCTCTCTATTGGTTAGGAACGAATAGTCATATGACGAACAGAGCATGCAAGTATGGTGGAGCTCCAATGCATCTGTTTATGTATGAACTTTAAAAGTGTCATTTAGAACATTAAGCACAACAATGTTTACCACATTCAATTGAAAAGGCAATAACATAAATACTTGATGACCAGTTTCAGAATCACCAAACATCAAATTATCTTGCTTGTCATTCATTCTACACGGCTAAAAATTTGGGCATTACAAGAACTATAGTTTTGTAACCTCCAGGAAAGTGATGCACCAAATGGAATCAAATATTAAATTAGAAAAGCAGGAAATTCGTCCCAAATGGGATAAAATTTCGACTCTACAGCAGGCAGGTGAATAAAACTTTCAGCTCTCTAATGTTAAACAGCATTTAATTGTATAGACCTAAAATGGTTTATGGACGTTTCATCCACGATAGACGAAAATTGGTACTACATCCAAGGCACCAAAAAAACTCATTGAATGTGAAACGACTGGCACCAAGCAGAGCACTAGAATTAGAATGATCAGTACCGGGACTAATCACCTGCTTCAGCGTGGCGCACTCAATCTCCAGCGTGGCAATCCTGCCCTGCTTCTCGGATATCTCTACGCAGAGCTCCGCCCTCGCCTTCGAAAGCTGCTCGGACTCCTCGCTAGCCTGCTTCGTCTGCGCCCTCACTACCCAACCAAAAACCCCATAGCACGAGAAGGCGTTACCGGAGGAAAGAGGCAGAAGCAGGGCCAAAGGGGCTGGGCGCCCTAGGGGTGGGGGGACCTTGGGCGAGGTCGGCGCCGTGGGCGTCGATGGCAGTGCGCTGCCGCTGCTCCTCCGCCGACCGCTTCGTCGCTTCCTCCTCCAGATCTGCAAGACCAACAAAACGAAACAGGCGGAATTCAGGGAGGGATGTGGATTTTGGGGGATCGCAGCGCAGGACGCACCGCTCATGTAGGAGCGGAGGGTCTTCATGTTAGCCAGGTACTCCTCCATGGCTGGTCCGCCGGAGTGGTGGAGCGGAACGGAGGAGAATACGACGGCGGCGGCGGCGAGGAGAGGATGGAGACGCGGCGGAGGAGAGTATGGGCGAGCGAGAGAGCGCTCTCGAGGTTTCCGTTGGAAGTGAGGTTTATGCTTTTATCCAACCCTCGAGAAAAGAATTTAAGATCATGTACTTACCTCCGTTTATGATGTATAGCTTCATCAGGAGATCGCTAAGTATTTTTTTCCACCACTTTTTTTTCACGATATAGTTTTTATTTTCGGATAAGATTATATACCTAAAGTATATGCCTATAAAGTTTATACATATTTTATAGGTTAAAATTTTATATACCCGATCAAATTTAAATTTGGATTTAAATATTCTTATATAGAATATTTCTATACATAAAGTTATATTATAAATCAAAGTCTATACACATGAATATATTTTTAAGGGTATTAGATTTTATTTACTCTTTTTTATATATATTTTTAATATTTTAAATTTATGATATAATAGGAAGGGAAGAAGGAGAAGTAGCGTACGCACCAAGAGGAGGGACGGGGGATGATTGTACGTACCAGGAGGAGGGACGGGGGATGATTGTTCTGGGTTATCACCCACCCATTAGCCCTCCCCGCTTCATCATCTTTTTTCTCAAACTATCCTTAAACTTTGATTAACACATCGTCCTATTGAGTACAATTTTACATTTGACTATTTATATTTTTTTTAAGAGAAACCATTTATTGATGAGCTCGATGTTTTATATTTTATTATTGAGACTAGCAATTATGTCAGAGTGTTAGAACGGGAAGAAAAATCGATAAAGTTAGACAGGGAAAGAGAGAGAATTGTTGACAAAAAGCCGAGTATAATAAGTTGATATAATACAAATTACCAAAGACTAGTCATTTAAGAATTAACATATGCATGTCTTTAGCATGATAGTAACAATGCTAACAATGTGGGGGGATAATGCAAACTACTACCACCTTTTTTAATAAATGACACCGTTGACTTTTTGTCACACGTTTGACCATTTGTTTTATTCAAAACATTTACGTAATTATTTTTTGTGAGTTGTTTTATCACTTAAAATACTTTTAGCATGATTTATATCTTATAGATTTGCATAAATTTTTTAAATAAGATAAATAGTCAAACATGTGACAAAAGGTTAACGACCGTAATCTATTAAAAAATATATTAAAAAATAGAGGGAGTACTTGTCTTTTTACTTACAATTCAGTGGCTTAAAAATAACAAGTTTGGTAACTGGTAAGTAGAATTACCCCTGAGTCTTTTCATAAACTAAGGGTGTGTTCGGCACCACATGTTCTCAACTCTTCTCCCTCGTGTTCCGCACGCACGCTTTTTAAACTGTTAAACGATGTGTTTTTTGTAAAAAGTTTCTATACGAAAGTTGTTTAAAAAAATCATATTGATCCATTTTATTTTTAAAAAATAGCTAATACTTAATTAATTACGCGCTAATTAAAAAAAGAAAATGCAAACTGGGAGAGAGAGAGAGTGAAGAGAGGAAGGGGAGGTATGACAAGTGGGTCCCATATTTTTAAAAAGAAAATACTTACTAGATTGCCACGCGTACGCCACGTAGGACAAAACCGCTCTGGATTAGGTCGAGGGGAGTGATTCGTCCGGTATTGAAAGTTCAGGGTGAGCAATGTCTGTTTTTCAAGTTTAGGGGGTAATTCGGTCGACCGCGATAGTTTAGTGGGTAATTCATACTTTTTTAAAAAAAAACACATGATAGATAACTCTCGTACTCGTATTATTCTGGTTGTTCACAGAGTACAAAACTATCTATAGACAGCAAAGCTATATATAGCTTTTGACCGTTAGAAATATGTGGGGTCGTACGAGATTCTCAAGCAAGGCGAGCAGAATTTCAGAAGCTGACGAGGAAAACAGAACAAAACAGGGGAGAAACAAGCCTACAGATGATGGCTCGGTCTATCCCGCCGGAGTCCGGTGACGAGAACGTCTCGGCTTCTGCCGATGGTGTGTATGCCTCCTTGTTCATTCTCTGCATGAATTGCCTTTCCTACACTGGGAATGCAAATGAAATTCTCTCGTGGTAGAAGATCGAAATTAAGCTACTAGCTAGTTTCTCTTGGAGAATGAAATCAACAACAGTTTTCTTCCACTTCCCATTTGTTCGTGCAAAATTGCTGCTAAAATATTTAACGATTTTACTCATGTTTCTTTTTTTTTCCCCAATGGAATCTGAACGGCTCAGTGTTGCTTTGCTAAAAACATGAGGGTTTGAGAACTTCTCTCGCAAAGACATGCAGGCGGCCTATTTTAGGGACAGAAGATGACAAAAGAACATCAAGGAAGAGGGCGTACGTGTAGAGAAAGACGGTGAAATATTTTGCCAGCCAGCCGGCCGGCCGGAGTCCGACGATCGAGCACATTCCGATGGACACTGCAGGCGGTACAACAAACCACGCCTAAAACCTCCTTTACTTGTAAGTCATCGTCGCAAAGTTCTACCACAAACAAGTGAAACGCATTGATCGTCAATTTCGTAAAAACACTTCAAATGCATAGATCATAAGCTTTCAAATCTCGGTTGCATATCGTTTGCTGGTTAGTTTGTTAGCCATAGTCAAGATTTGAATTTTGAAACTTTACTTGGGAGTTCTTTTTCATCGTAATCTATTTTTAGCATTAGCTTTTAAACTGCAAACAAATAGATATAAAAAGTTGTGATTAGTTCATTTTGGAATTTGGGATTATTTCATTCAATTTTGGGTCATTAGAGGAAACACTTTTAATCATTTAGATGGACATCCACCCATTTGTTGCCTGTCAAATTAAATGATTATGATTTTTTTTTAAAAAAATGGATAAGATATATTAATACTTCCTCTATTTCACAATGATAAGATATATTAGGGTGCCATCATTTGGCATATTGGTGGAATAAGCTAAACGGTATATTTGCAAATGAAAAGTAATTTGTGAATAAAATTTTTATATATGTGTTATTAGCGATCTAAAAGCAAAGGCTGAAAAATAACCTTCAATGAAAAAACCCTAAAATCAGCTTCAAATTTAATATTGAAAATTCAAATTTTGGCTGATAAGCATATGAATATGCCAAACGATGGAGACCTAATACGTTCCGTTCCACAATGAATCTAGACATATAGCATTGCCTACATTCATATAGATATAAAGAATCTAGACACATATTTGTCTAGATTCATTAGAGTATCTATATGAATGTGAACAGTGCTAGAAAAGTCTTACAATATGAAATAGGGGGAGTACATAATATGTCACTTCATAAACATACAAGTTTAAATTTGACTTCTATGAGTTCTAACAAAAACATAAAAAATTAACTCTAATTAGTATACGTATATACTCACAGTTAAATTTGTTTTTCTTACAACTCGTAAAAGTTAAATTTGAACTTGTTTGTTTAAGTGAATATTCATATTAATCTATCTTATCTTGTCAATTGTTTTGATTTATTATTTTGTAATTATCTAGTTGACATGTAATAAATATATGAACATATCCAACCGAATGATTAAAAGCCCTCTCCGGGTTATCAGCCATAATCACTATCAGAGTTTTGTGTGTGTGTGTGTGCGCACTGCAGAGGAGGGCATGGAGGAGGAGGTGAACGACCACCCGATCGAGGAGGTCCGGAACACGGTGCCGGTGACCGACGACCCGTCGGAGCCGTGCCTGACGTTCCGGGTGTGGGTGCTGGGGCTCTCGTCGTGCGTGTTCCTCGCCTTCGTCAACGAGTTCTTCATGTACCGGACCACGCAGCTGAGCATCGGCACGGTGGTGGTGCAAATCATCACGCTGCCCATCGGCCGCCTCATGGCGTCGACGCTGCCGGCGAGGCGCCTCCGCGTCGGCGGCTGGTCCTTCTCCCTCAACCCGGGGCCCTTCAGCCTCAAGGAGCATTGCCTCATCATCATCTTCGCCGGCGCCGGCGCCAGCGGCGTCTATGCCATGAACATCATCGCCATCGTCAAGGTGTTCTACAAGCGCCAGATCAGCCCCTACGCCGCCATGCTGCTCGCCCAGACCACCCAGGTTGCCACTCATGCATTGGTTGATTAGTAACAAATCGAAGACCTGATCAAACACACATTGATTAATCCAAAAATGGCCTTTTATTTGATTTCATACAGTTGCTTGGGTATGGATGGGCCGGATTGTTCAGGAAGTACCTGGTTGACTCAGCCTACATGTGGTGGCCGTCAAACCTCGTCCAAGTCACCCTCTTCAGGTAATGGTACTAATTACCAGCAGTTATTTTGTCGAAATATTTGTTTCTGAAAAATATATGATGCAAATGGGGAATGGGCAAACACAAACTTTATTTTGAGCATTTTTTTTTTTTGCGGGGAAACTTATAAGCAAAATTTGGAATGTTTGTCACGCAGGGCGATGCACGAGGAGGAGAAGAGGAACAAGGGGCAGCTGACGCGGCTGCAGTTCTTCATCATGGTGATGACGTGCAGCTTCGCCTACTATATCGTACCCAGCTACCTGTTCCCGGCGATCAGCACCATCTCGGTGCTGTGCTGGCTGTACAGGGACTCGGTGACGGCGCAGCAGATCGGCTCCGGCGCCTCGGGCCTCGGCGTCGGCTCCTTCGGCCTCGACTGGAACACCGTGGTGGGCTTCCTCGGCAACCCGCTGGCGTCGCCGGCGTTCGCCATCTTCAACGTCATGGCCGGCTTCGCGCTCAGCACCTACGTCGCCGTGCCGATCCTCTACTGGACCGACACCTACAACGCCAAGCGCTTCCCGCTCGTGTCGTCGCACGTCTTCAACGCCGCCGGCGGCCGCTACGACACCGCCCGCATCCTCGACCCGGCCACCTTCACGCTCAACCTCAGGGAGTACGACGCCTACGGCCGCATCAACCTCAGCATCCTCTTCGCCATCAACTACGGCATCGGCTTCGCGGGCCTCATGTCCACGCTCTCCCACGTCGCGCTCTACCACGGCAAGCAAGTTTTCCCGCACAAGCTCTTGCTAACTTAGTACTCCCGTCAGTCATAAATATTTGATATGTTTATGACAAGATTCAGCTAACCAGCTTGCAAAACTTTTGACTTCAATTTGTTCGAGCAGGGACATTTGGGGCTTGTGGCGGAAGGCAACGGCGGAGCAGGCGAACGGCGGCGGCAAGGAGCGCCAAGACGTGCACACGAGAATCATGAAGAGGAACTACAAGGCCGTGCCACAGTGGTGGTTTCACTTGATGCTGGCCATCGTGATGGCATTGTCGCTGTACACCTGTGAGGGGTTTGGCCGGCAGCTTCAGCTGCCATACTGGGGTCTCCTCCTTGCCTGTGCCATCGCCTTCACCTTCACGTTGCCCATCGGCGTCATCTCTGCCACGACCAACATGGTCAGCACAAGTAGAATTACTTTCTCTTTCAGCCTTGAATTAACGTTAACTAAGCTAGTATAGTAGTAAATTGCATTATTGTTGGTTGGTTGTTTCTTTCAGCAACCAGGGTTAAACATCATCACAGAGCTCATCATCGGGTACCTGTACCCGGGGAAGCCATTGGCGAATGTGGTGTTCAAGACCTACGGCTACATAAGCATGACTCAGGCGCTGACGTTTGTGTCGGATTTCAAGCTGGGGCACTACATGAAGATACCGCCCAGGTCCATGTTCATGGTGCAGCTGGCAGGGACGGTGGTGGCGTCGACGGTGCACTTCGCGACGGCGTGGTGGCTGCTGACGACGGTGAGGAACATCTGCGACGTGGACAGCCTGCCGCTGGGGAGCCCGTGGACGTGCCCCGGCGAGGACGTCTTCTACAACGCCTCCATCATCTGGGGCGTCGTCGGACCGCTCCGGATGTTTGGCCGTCTCGGCAACTACTGGCAGATGAACTACTTCTTCCTCGTCGGCGTCCTCGCGCCGGTGCCCGTCTGGCTGCTGTCGCGCCGGTACCCGCGCAGCGCGTTGCTCCGGGACATCAACCTGCCGCTCGTCCTCGCCGGCGCCAGCGGGCTGCTCCCGGCGAGGTCCGTCAACTTCGTCATGTGGGGGCTCGTCGGGTTCGTGTTCAACCACGTCGTGTACCGCCGGTGCAGGGCGTGGTGGATGCGGCATAACTACGTGCTCGCCGCGGGGCTCGACGCCGGCGTCGCCTTCATGGGCGTGCTCACCTTCGTCTCGCTAGGATACTTCGACATATACGGGGTGCAGTGGTGGGGTGGCGCCGCCGATGATCACTGCCCCTTGGCGTCGTGCCCCACAGCACCTGGGGTGTTTGCCAGGGGATGCCCGCCTGTACCTTCTTGATTGATCAGGACACCGCATCTACATGTATATACTCCATATGACAGATGGTTACTCAAATGTATATATTATATCCTCTTGTCTTCCTCTCTTTTGCCCCCTCCTCTTCATACACTGTAGATCCAATGGTCGCCACTCGCCAGCCGGCAGTGGTCACGGCCTCACCGGTGCATTACACCTGCAATGCAAAGTGGCTATGAGCCTATGAAGGTGTCAGTTTCTTAGACAGCGAGCCATGCTCGCATGTGCCTCTTTCCGCCTGCCTGCTTGGATCCTAATCTGGTCGGTCTTTGTGCTGTCCTCTGGTCTCTGGTTGCTATTGGCACAAATTGAGGACTTTTGGTTGTGTGTTGCAAGGCTTCATGTGAAAATATAGCTCAAAGCCAGTAGGGATGACCTCGAGAGGCATCGGTTCCTTATGGGATGGTTAATAAGGTTCTCTTTGATCTTGCCCCATTATGTCTCATTGGGTGAAAAACAATGATTCAGCTTATCAGAACGAATGACGACACTAAGTAATGGACGTACATCAGCATAGGTTTTTGCTTAGCATGGTTTTAGATCCAATATTTCTTGAAGCTAGGTATAACTCTAAAAATCCATGGATCTCGATTTGTGATTACACTTAGCTAAAGTACAAAATTTTAAGCTCCGGTCCAACAAAAATACCTCGAGGTATCAGTACCTCACGGTACCAAATTGTTTCCGTGGGTGAGGGCTGGATCGACAGAGGCGGCGGTGTGCGGAGAGAGGGGAAGAGAAAAAGGAAGGAGGAGGTGGCTACCTTGTGACGGCGCGGGAATTTGGATCGGCGGCGATGGCAGTGGGAGAGGGGAAGACAGAGAGAAAGAGAAAAGGGGGCATCGACGGATGAGGATTTGGGAGCGGGGAGGTGAGCTTGGGGTGGTGTAGCGAACAGCGAAGCTCGCCGGCCTTTTTATAGGCAAGCGTCGGCGCTATAGACGCGGGAGAGGCGGTTGCGCAGCTCCCAGTGCGGCATGGATGTGTTGGCCGTGGCAGCGACGTAGTGAACACTTGGTGCAGGTGGCAGCACCATGATGTTGCGGGGCAACGCGGGGAAGATGGGACACAGGGAGGCTGCGATGCGACGTGACGAGGATGGGTTGAATTTAACGGCGCCCTTTTCGCCGCCCAATTGGTCACCACCAGCTATTTAAGTGACGCGCCTCCAGTGGCGTCACTGTCCTTCTCCCGTCCTCCCCCCTCCCCCACACAAAATCCAAGCCGTTCACATGACTCCTATCCTCCACTCTTTGCTCTAGTGTCTTCCGTTCACATCGCCGGAATGCGCTCGCCTGCCTCCACGTCGCGTGGCGTCGGTAGGAGTTGGTCGCCAACCGCCACGCCGCGCTCGACATGGGGCTAATCATGGGGGGAAACCTCCTCCAGGCCGACCTCGAGGCCACCAAATAGCGCGCATCATCGCCAACCCCGATGAAGGCAGCGACGCGGAGGCTATCGATGAGTAGACCCGGTCATCGTTTCTCTCCCGCAACAGCACGGCCCTCCGCCGTCGCTCGGCTCCTGCTCCTGTCCCTCTGCAAACGAAGAGAAAGGAGAGGGAAAGAGAGATAGAAGGGAGAGAGAGAGGAGGAAGAAGGAAATGATAGAGGATGGCATGTAGGGTCCCAACATGACAGTGTGTCCCACAATTATTTGTGTGAACAACAAATGGGTCTTACATATTCTTTTAATTTTAATACCACATAAGTGCCACGTCAGCGTCACGTTGGATGAATACTAGGTCAACACCGCCACGTAAGCGCTACATAAGCAAAACCGCCCTCTAAAACCGTCAAGGGGGTCAAATTGCACCGGTTTTAATAGTTGAATGATCTGAGATATCCAGTATTGTAGTTCAGGGAGCGCCATGCGAAGTTACAACTGGACATGCAAGACAACATAGATCAATGGAAAGCTGACGAATATAGCTATAGTAGGGGAAGTAGTCTATCTTCTCCACCAAGCTGATATTCTAGGGTTTTGCTGGCTATAGCAATTGATTACGCAACTACGTACAAATACTTAATTAATCACATGCTAATGGACCGCTCCGTTTTCCGTGCGTACTGTTTAGGCGGGGAACCGACTAGAGCGAACACAACCTAAGAGCAAGTAGTAATTAGATGAGTAGTGAAGGTCAGTAGAAAAAAGTGAACGGTCGAGGGTTATGATTAGTTGGACAGAGAATGTTAGTGGAGAAGTTATATTTTAGAACAAATACTATAGGCTAAAAGTTATTATATTTTAGGATGGAGTAACTACTATATGAGTTGGTTGAGAGGTTATCAGATTGTATAACTGCAGACACCTTATAAGATATTTCCTCCATTTCATATTATAAGACTTTCTAGCATTGTCCGCATTCATATAGATATTAATGATCTAGACATATATGTGAATAGATTCATTAACATTACTCTTCGTTTCACAATGTAAATCATTCTAGCATTTCGTAGATTCATTAACATCAATATGAATGTGCGAAATACTAGAATGATTTACATTGTGAAACGAAGGAAGTATATGAACGTGAACAATACTAGAAAATCTTATAATATGAAACGAAGGGAATAATCTATACTTGGGTCCTATAGTGTATAGCTTGGTTCAATTGGTACACGTGCAGTGTGAACATCTTTGGAATAATAGTGTATTCTGCATCTCACCATGTCTCCAGTTAATATAGTGCAATTTAAATCAAACCAGATACTAATGAACTACACCGGCTGAAAATGCAATTATACCAAACTAGTTTATCCGAAGACTACTGAGCCCTGCAAGGAAAATATGCAACGATATATGGTAGCCATATAGCACCCAAGAAGTCAGCATTCATTAGCCTATAGCACCCAACCAACCTACAAAATTGCCAGCGCAGAAAATTGATACGCATACAAATTAAGATGCAAGCTGACCTCAATGGACACTAATGATTACGAAATTTTTAACTAAGAACAGAAGAAAAACGATGATATACTACTATGAATTCAAGATACTTCATCGCCATCATATCAAGCCTATGATAGGAAAGATCCACAGAAAATATGCTCCAGTTGCATCTCAAATCGACTAAATACGAGCTAAACTAACAGCCATAGTGACTTTGCTATCTAATCAAAGCATATGTGCGATCTCTTGAATTCTAAACACTGAAAAAGTGATTTTAAATTCTACAAGCCAATCTAACAGGAGTCAGGAGTGGTACAGCAACCTTAGCAGAGCCAATCTAACAGGCGTACATAAACCTTAGCAGAGCCAAATCTAGCAGGAGAGGTACATAACCTTAGCAGATTAAACTTCAACTCTTCTTTTCTAGCTGCAGATAATTTATCTTGCCTTGTCTAGTACCGACCTTCTGCAAGCTTATCTAACACACACATGGCAGCATCTGAAGCTGTCTACCTTGCATATGGATGATAACGACCAGAAGCACCAGCACCACTGCTACCATAGCCTCCTCTAGCACCATAGAGTCCACCCGTGCCAAAGCCAACACCAGCACCAGGACCTGAAGAAGAGTCATAACTAGGGCCATAGCTAGAACCACCAAAACCCCCAGCATCACGCCCATATGCACCACCTAAACCACCAGCATAACTGCCACCAGCATAACCACCACCAAAGCTTCCTCCATAAGTGCTACCAAAGCGACTAGAATAGAGAGATGATTCTCCACGATATCCTCCTAATGCTCCACCATAAGCACCATAGCCACTACCATAGTCACCAGGGCCATAAGAACTACTGTAACCACCAGGCCTAGTGCCAAAACTTCCAGGTGATCTATAGGGGCCAAAGCTACCACCATAATTATAAGAGTTGCCCAATCCATCATAACCATCCGCATGTGGACGGCCCCTAGGTTCACTATCAAATGAACGATGAGGTGGGTTAGAGGGTTTCTTTGGTTCGGCCTTCTTGATCTCCACCTACAGCAAAGCAAGAAAGTCAACCTATATTCTCTTAAGACCTTTCTACTTCCACGAAAATGGAGTGCTAATAACCTGCAGCCTATATAAGACAACGAATAAAGCAACAGAAACATAACAGCAAATCAGCAAGGGTTCTCCCAGAGGTAACTGGAAGAACACAGTTTATTAACATGTGCAGGCATAGTTGTACCAAACTAGTAGAATTACAAACTTCAAAAAGCAATACACCGAGTCTCACCTGAGAACCATTTAGATCAATCATATTGCCTTTCTTAGCTAATAATTCATCTACAGTTTTTTCTGCATCAAAGACTACAAATCCAAATCCTCGTGACCGGTTAGTTGAATGGTCACGAATGATTTCATGTTCCACCACCTTTCCAAATTTCGAAAAGAACTCCTTGAATTCATCTGTCAAATTATCGCATCAACATGTTCAGTATACTTATAAAATAATAATATGAGCTAGTCCATGGTTAGGCAAACAATATATACATGTAATACCTTCTTTCAAAGCAGATGGTAATCCACCAACAAATATTTTCTTCGTCTTGAAATCTTTTAGGGGGGCAGCACCCTTTGGAATAGTTCTCTTAATTTCAACCTGCATGTTTCACGTTGAATCATGTTACGATATAAACAGAGTGAGAGAAGCAATAGGCAATGCCTATTTTTTGCTAAAGGAAGTTGGACTAGTATATTAACTTATAAACTTATGACATACTCTGGTAACCGACATTCATACAACCAAGCTCAAAGGATCAAAAGAAGTCAGGTAGCAACAGGAATCAAACAATTTACCTCCTTTCCATTAATAACATGGTTGTCCTCAATCACTCTGTCAACAACAGCAGGATCTGCAAAGGTAATAAATCCAAATCCTCTGGGTTTCTGGGTAAAGCGGTCCTTCATTATGACGGCATCAACTATCTCCCCATACTTCCCAAAGTATTCTTTGAAAGTACCTGCATGTTCAAGAGCATAACGAAGAAGTTAACAGACAGCTAGAGTAAATCTGAATAAAACAAGCAATAAAAAAATAGCCTCAGATTTTTTACTTCTTATATAAATCTTAGAATACAAGATACAGACCAATGAAAAAATAATTTCCGAGGGCCACACGAAGATCAGTACAAAAAAATTTGACCTTTTGTATGATAGGTAACAAGTGCACATGAAACCCAATTAAATAATTCACAACATGAAAAAGGCAAAGCATATTTGGTAGAATAGAAGTATCAGACATCTATTATCAACAAATACATCAGCTATTGCTTTACTAAAAGTTTTAAGCTATGATGATACCAACCTAAAAGATAAGCAAATACAGTTGATTCCATAATAAAATATCACAATTTATCTTCGTATAATACTCATGGCTCATTTTCTCCCGAAAATTAGGCGGGCCCTAACAGTGCACACAAAACTTCCGTTTCCTATATGTATGGGTGGCAACGGGGTGGGGCGGGGTGGGGCGGGGTGGGGCAGGGCCGGGTTGGGTTGGAATGCCCCCGCCCCCGCCCTCATGAGGGTATCCCTGCCCCCACCCCCACAAAGGAAGTCGGGTGAAAAACATCACCCGTCCCCGCCCCCACAGGGGACCCGGCGGGTGATCGGGGCCCCGCATCACCCGGATGGAGTTAATACTTCATAAAAATATTGCAATACACTAAATAATACTCCCTCCGTATTTTAATGTATGACGCCGTTGACTTTTTGACAAACGTTTGACCTTTCGTCTTATTCAAAAAATTTATGTAATTATAATTTATTTTATTGTGAATTGATTTATCATCAAATGTTCTTTAAGCATGACATAAGTATTTTTATATTTGCATAAAAATTTTGAATAAGACGAGTGGTCAAACGTTGGTTCAAAAGTCAACGGCGTCATACATTAAAATACGGAGGGGTATGGTAAAATTTCAATAGCCCCCGACGAAGTGGGTTGGTTGAAGGAAGGAAAGGGATTACAGTTGAGAACTAGGGTGTTGAGCTTTTATATGTCAATTTTGAATGGGCTTGTTGGGTCTATATTATTGTAATGGGCTACTTTTAGAGAAGTTTCTCACATATGGGGCCCCTCCAGGTCACCTGCGGGTTAATTCTGATCCCCGCCCCCGTCCCCATCCACCCGCGGGTGAGAATCCCCCCCCCCCCCCGACCCCAACCCTGACCCCATAGGGGCGGGTCCCTGGCCCCAACGGGGAAATTGCTACCCCTACCTATATGTCTGGCACTGGTTGCAAGGAAAGGATTAGTGCAGGACCTCTCTGCCATCCTCACTGCCACATGCCAAATTTGTAAAAAGGTTAATGGAAGTCCCTACTGTTGTCGAGCAGTACACCTTTGAAAGACGCTATTCCCTTTGACTTTTTCACAAATCTTGCTGACAAGCCAAATTTGAGCAAGATGAGGTCTACATGACAAATGTAGGTTCAAAAATATTGTTTGGTCCAACCACAGTGCCAGTACCCTATATCACACATATATTAGTTTTTATTTGGTGCAGCATGAATTGTTAACGGAACAACTGTATTTGTCGCTACGTAGTGCATCCCAGAATATGCCAAAGCATGCCACCAAAGCTAAGGTCGCAAAATTGCCATGCTCTTAATCAAGAGAAGAGCTATTCTCCACCGGGCCAACTAGACCAGATCAAGGAAATTATTACCTCCAGAACTAGGTCAATCGCAACATATAAAAGCTAAAAACATGAAGATCTGAACAAGAACCGAACCATAAATAACTAATCAAGCATACGCCAAAACAGCCAGTAAACACGAGGGAGAAAGTGAATCTATAGCAGATCTGGACTTACCCATGGTGGTGTCCTTAGGCAGCCCGCCGATGAAGATTTTGCTGCAGGAAGAGCAAACCAAAGACAAAACCACACGAAAAAATACATCAGAAAAATAATGCCGAAAGATTTCGGAACCGAGCCACCGTAAGGAGCGAGGTGGGGATCTGGGGGAGGGGAGAAAGGCGAGAGGACTGACGCTGGGCTGGCGCCGTCGTGCTCCTTCATCTTGCCGCCGGCCATGGCGATAGAGAGAGATCAGACGGGCTAGGGTTTCGCGTTTCGTTGGAAGAGGCGGGTGGAAGGGGAGGACGCGTGAGATTGGGGATTTTTATCTGCCAGTGGAATTGGGATCCGGAAGCGCCTAATTTATGTCGGTTTCGACTTTGGACTTTGGACGATGATGGCCACTGACCACCACGCGAACGTTCGCGCCGAACGTTCGCGCGGAACGTGGTCGCACGAACGCAGGGCTAGGCTGAGTTCGGGAGTAACTCACCTACCCCACACGTAAAACGGAGCAATACATTTTCTCATGATTAATTAAGTATTTACTAATTATATTTAAAATATAGATTAATATAATTTTTTAAAACAACTTTCGTATATTTTTTTTTGCAAAAACCACACCGTTTAGCATTTTGAAAAAAGTGAGTGCGGAAAATGAGGGTGGTAAATTGGAAAAGTTGGTAAAAGAACTCAGCCGAATACGTAAGGAGTGGGCATAAATAAATCTCTAGCAAGACTAGCAGATTGGAACAGAATTAAGGCTTCTTGCAATCAGTTAACTTTAAATGATAAAAAAGATGTGGTTGTGTGGAATCTGACAAAAAATGGATTGTTCAGTGTTAAATCCTTTTATACAGCTCTGAAACTTCAGGAAACATCCTCCATGACAGGGGTATACATAAGAAAATCTGGAAAATCAAGATTCCTTTAAAAGTTAGGATTTTCATGTGGTTGATGTTAAAAGAGAGTATTCTAACAAAAGACAATTTGATAAAAAGGGGTGGAAAAAAGGAAACAACTTATGCCAGTTCTGTGAACAAAAAGAGACAATCCAACATTTATTTTTCGAATGTCCAATAGTAAGGTTCACCTGGAACGTTGTGATTTGCGCTTTTGGAATGAAACAGATCAAAGACCTGAAACACATGCTGAACTCTTGGATTCGATCTTGTGACAAAACCACAAAACAGCTAATGTTGGTTGGTGTGGCTGCTATAATTTGGGCCACTTGGAAAGCTAGAAACAAAGCTTGTTTCAATCAAATTTTACCACATAATCCAACTAATATTTTATATAATGCTTGTGCACTAATGATTGACTGGTCTATTTTACAGAGTTCGGAGGAAAAGCGAAGAAAGTTGAAGTGGGGAGCTTAATTGCTAAAGCAAATAGCAAGTGAAGTCTTCAAGTCTCAGTTTGGATGGTGCCTGGGACAGAGAAGATTACTGAATAGCTGATATAGAGCAGGAAGATCTGGAGAACGAAGTTGATGAAGGGCCTGTTTGGCACAGCTCCAGCTCCAGCTCCACCCCTCCTGGAGCTGGAGCTCAGCCAAACAGTTTCAGCTTCAATAAAACTGGGAGTGGAGTTGGGTGGAGCTCTCTCACAAAATGAACTGGAGTTGTGGAGCTAGGTTTAGGCAGCTCCACAACTCCACTCCAGACCCAATTCCTGGAGTTAAATTTAGGAGTTGGAGCTGTACCAAACAGGCCCGAAATCTTGTGTTGTGATCGATGGTCTTTTTGGCTTGCTCTACGTAGCAGTTGAGGGGGGTTTCCTGTAAAAAACAGTTTGTTGTTTCGGGCATTTCATGCTGTTTTTTTTCTTTCTTCTTTGTTTGCTCCATGTGAGCCCCTGGGGAGAGTTTTCTCCTCGGGTCTAAGACCTTAAATTTCCACATTTCTTTAATGGAAATGGAGGGCTTTTTGCCCTTTGCTTAAAAAAATAAATCTCTAGCAAGAAGATTTGGTATTTGGTAATACTTTGATTTTTTTATAATAATAAATTTGTTTGGTTTGTAACCTTGCCAAATAATGACAAGTAATTTTGAGAACCACTATAGCACTTTGTTTAATAAACGATGTATGGCATATGACATTTCCTTTTCTTAATCCGGAAAATGGGAAAATATTGAGAGGATAATTTTTTTTATTATTTTTACTTCCTATCTTAGTTATGCAGTACAACGGTTTCTAAAATGAATCATCATTACATTCTCTTTCTCCACGAGGGCGGTGACCTCCCAACTCCACTACTCATTGTCGATGGATTGACACCTCTGGGTAGATCTGCACCCATGCGACTGAGGTAGCCCCTTCCCCCCTCCCCCGGCATATGTAAGTGTGATGCACCCCCTACATCTCTTTCTCCCTCCTTTTCTTACACAACGTCCTCCCATTTATTCCATCTCCTTCCCCTTTTCTTGCACTACATCCTCCCATTTATTCCATCTCCTTCCCCTTTTCTTACACTACGTCCTCACATTTATTCCATCTCCTTCTGTAGCAACCTGATTCTCGTTCTGGAGACTAAACTCTCCAAGACAATGAGAAAGAAGAGGAAGATGCTAGACAAGGTGAGAAAGGACACCTTCCCTGGATCGCAGTCGAAGTGTGAGATTTTGATAGCCGATTCACGGCTCCCGTCCTTATTAGATCCAACTCTTGCATCCTTAGAACTGACTGAACATAGGGATGCCAAGACAGGAAAGAATTTGTCGAAGACATCACAAGACGATAAAGCAAGCCGATGACGATGAGGAGGTTAGTTGTTTTTCTTTTTGTCTTTTATGTGTTATGCTCTAATAACAATGTCACCTTGCGATAGAAATTTATACCTGATGAGGCTCACGCCAAATAGGGAATATACTCTCTGACAAGTGAACATTCTATGCTTTTCTTTGCCTACTATCTTTGTTGGGTTGGTCCCCAACATATCACATGGATGCATTCGTGGATGAAATCTGAGTTCAAAATGCAAGACTTGTGCAAAACTAAGTATTGCTTAAGCTTGTAGCTTGAGCATATCCCTGAAGGGGTCTTAGTGCACCAGTCAACCTACACATAGAAAGTGTTGGAACAATTTTGCTTTAAAAAAAAATCCTTCGAAAACCCTCATGGTAGACCAAGAGAAGAGGAGGAGGAAGTCCTTGGATCAGAATTTCCATACTTGAGTGTAATAGGAGCGCTCATGTACCTTGCAAATTGCACAAGACTGGACATAGCATTTGTCGGCAACTTACTTGGAAGGGCATCAAGGATATCCTTTGTTATCTTCAAGGAAGCAAGGACATGGGACTATTCTACAGAAATAACCAAGATCTCACCTTGGTAGGATATGCAGATGTTGGGTACCTATTACACCCACATATAGCCAAGTCACAGACTGGTTATGTTTTCCTATGTGGAGGAACAACAATTTCCTGAAAATCATCAAAACAAAATATTGTAGCAATTGCGTTGAACCACTCGAAAAATCTTCGCACTATACGAAGCCTCTTGCAAATGTGCATGGCTTTGTAGGATGATTCACCACATTCAACAATCATGTGAATTGAACACCATCCAGACCCCTACAATTATTTATGAAGATAATGCAGCGTGTGTCACACAAGTGGAAATGGGTTACGTGAAAAGTAATCTCACCAAGCATATCAACCCCAAGTTCTTCTATGCTCACGAACTGCATAAGACGAATGAATTAAAGTATTGCATACCAAGTCCTGTGAAAATCTTGCAGATTTATTCACTAAGTCATTACCGACATCCCTTTTGAAAGATGCATCCAAGGGATTGGGATGATGAGACTTAGAGAAGTGCAAAAGGAGAATTTTGCTAACTCACTTGCTAAACTTAATCCAAATTCCAGAATGACAAAGTACCCAATAAGAATAATGGTGTGGGTTGTACTCTTTCTCTTATATAAGTTTTCTCGCAGTTTCTTATTAAGGTTTTTAATGAGACAATATATCCGTGCAACACACAAAATGTATGCTATGTACTCTTTCTTCAATTATTTCCCACTAGGTTTTTAAGAAGTTTTAATGATGCATAAGCAATACGTGGTGAAGATCCAAGGAAGAATGTGAGAAATTTGGACTTTGGCCCATGAAGGCCAGTCTAAATGTCCAATACATCAATTGTCCCTCACCCTATTTTCTATATATAATAATTGACTATATATAAAGGGAGGGGGACACCCTATTTTTTATATATAATAATTGACTATATAAAGGAAGAAGAGCTGAGGCTTCGTGTGCATACGCAATCCTTTTAAACTGCTGTACGTAGTAGAGCAGTTGCGTAATAAAGGGATGGCCTAGTTATGCGTACTTATTTTCTAAGTATAACAAAAGTTGCTAAGTTTATCTAGGAGTCTAAGAACAAGTCTAATCGTAGTTCACAACCAATTTGGGGGCTGCTAGCTGGCGCACTAATGACGGCCAGCGGCGAGCACTTCCCTCCTATAACTACTCTATATTAGTTAACACTTAACACTAATGACGGGTAATTAGAGAATATTCTCAAGATTTTTCTTTCTTTTTGGGAGATTTTTTTACTAACAGATTGAAAATTTATAAGTCAAATTTGAAAACTTTCGATTTAAGATTTAAATTTTAAAGTCAAATTTTGAAAACTTTCAGCTCGAGATTTGAAAACTTTTAACTCAGATTCGAAAACTTTCACGTCCAGATTTGAAAAATTTGAAAACTTTCAACTTGAGATTTGAAAATTTTCAACTCGAGATATGAAAACTTTAAACTCGAGATTCGAAAACTTATAAGTCTAGATTTGAAATATTTGAAAACTTTCAACTTGAGATTTGAAAATTTTTCAACTCGAGATTTGAAAACTTTCAAATCCAAATTTGAAAATTTTAAAGTTAAGATTTAAAAATTACTAGTAAACTAATCACTAACTTAATCTAAACTAATTACTATTTTTTCCCCTGTCCATAGGGCAGGAATGGCAAAAACAGCAAAAAAAAAAAAAAAAAAAGGAAAAAAAAAGAAGAAAGAGCGGCGTCCCAAAAAAAAAGAAGAAAGAGAGAAGAAGTGTGCGCGCGTGCGTGAACCTTGTGGGCCAAAGGTACGTGCCGGCAGCCTTATGGGCCGGAAGTACGCATTGGCAACACATGCGCGCCAACTAGCATTCACGCCAATTTGAAATCCCAACCAATCAACAAAAAACATGTTTTACTTTTTTTTTCCCATTATGCCTCCATACATAGGTTCCTTTTTTTAGCCTGAAAATAGGTCGCTTCCCCCTCGTAGTTGATATGTTTTACGGTTCACAGGATAAACACAGAAAAATGGGAACAGATAAAAAATAAGATACTAGGAAGCAGCCATATGGGTGATTCACAAGTCTACAAAGATAGGAGTACCACATACCAGCTATGATTCCCACGTAAACAGCGTTTCACCAGTTCTTTTCACAAGGTTAAGATCACAGTGGTTGCGTAGAACGTCTGGAATAAAATCAAATGCATTTCCACCATATGTTTGCACTTTGCACTCGACTTTTGTCTTGTCAAATCTATAACATTAAGGTGATCATGAACATTCATTGCACCATACTGATAAAACGAGATTGGGTATCTGACAACTAATAATCTAAACAAAGTTTGTGCAGTACCATGCAATGGTTGCTCTGCAACTCAGTACATAAAAAAACAAAAACAAAAAAATGGCAAACAAAATTCCTCCATTAAATATTAGGTTCATATGGTTCCAAAGTAGCCATAGAAAATATCCAGGTAGATCAATAGGACAAAGATGCTTGAACTAGTTTCCTCCTTAGTTGGTTACTCTGTACTTCTGCAAATGGGAAAAGTTCAAATTAGACCTTAGCAATTGATCCATGTATGCAATAATTATTGTCAACAGCTGAATCAAACAGAGTAAATGGAAGTTCAACCAGATTATCTTAAGAGCAACTGAAATAAAATTGCAAATTCAAGTCAACAGAGATGTTTCCCATTATCTTGTGGTAAATGAAATTCAGCGGAGTTACACCCGCTGAGTCAAAGCGCCACTTACAAAACTCCTAAGACATGAAAATGCAATAATGCATAATTTAAGCTATATCAATACTGAACAGATCATAAATTGCCTTTAAACTCGATTTGTGACAATGCATTGCACAGTGCAAGCAAAAGGCATGGATGGAAGTGGTTACTACAGTATCTTACAGTGTGAAGAAAGACCATAAAAGTTTAACCACAACAGTCAGAGATGGATAATAAAAAAATATACCTTAACAGTGTTAAGCAGAATCTTTGCTTCACTGTTGTTATTGAAGTGGTCACGAATAGGCTGAAAATAGAAAGGATAACATTATTAAGACAAGATAAGCTATTGGAACCATACCGTGCAAGGTCTTGATAATAAACACCACATCATTATCCAATGAAAACAGGTCAATACAAAATACACTAGTGCGAAATTGATACCACATCAATAAAAATAATCCATCAAAACTAGAGAAAATGACAATAGTCAAATGAAGCAAACAACAAATAGGCACCATATTATTGAACAGAAAGCCAAATGTGGGAAACTTTACCTGCAATATTTGGTTTATTGCTTTTGCTAGAGCTGGCTTAACATCAGCAGGATGCAAAGCACCAGTCTTATAATCATCGATGAGTTCATCCATGTTTGTAAATGTCCTGTTTAACATCAATATGCAAAAAAGTTTAACATCGATGCTTTGCCTTGTCATGTCAGAAGATCAATAATAGACTAACTTAATGTGCTCTGATTAACAGACTGGTGGCATAGGCAACTAACTTAATGATTGAGCCAATTGATGGTAAATAGGAAAAATTCCAAGTTATGTAGCTCAGAACAGAACATTTACTTGTTACCGCCATTTGCTTCCTTCCGAACCACCTCAAACATTTCAAACCAAGGGAAAACAATATACTTGATGTACTCCAAGCATGGGTTCCCATCAACCACGTTGGGAGGGCAAAATGCTTGTTTTATCTTCAAATTTACCTGAGCCTGCAATAAATTAAGCCATGAATAAATTTAGAACTAGTTTGGGTAGTGATGAATACATGCTCTGATTACAAGTACATAACAGAAGCTGCTATAGAAGACCAAAAAGAAAAGAATTAGCAAATTGTAGAAACATACTCCCATCTTCCTAAATTGATCATCATATATGTTTATACACCAAGACCAAGGATAATTTAAATCACATCAATCAGGACATCATGCACACATTCTCCCACAATACATGCATCGATTAAAACACCATGCCAATTACACATTAGCATGCTCACATTCTCCCATGCTGCACTAATTGTATTATGATGAAATCCGTGTCCATGCGGTTATATGATGATCAATTTGAGAAATTTTGAGTTCCACTATATGATGATCAATTTGGGAAGGAGGGAGTAAATGAGAATTTTATTTATCCACTAGAATAAGCAAAAGGAAAAGAAAAACTGCAAATCAGCATGTAAGGTTGCCATAGTAGCCATTCAAAACAACATAGGTGTCTATCAACCCGCATCAGGAAACTAAAACCAAAGTAAAATCACCAGAAAAAACATAAAATTATAGCACTTAGATGATGACCTCTCCTAGGTAAATACCCTTAAAACATTCCACTATTTCTTAGGAAGGGTCTAGCTTGCCCAAAGATTGGGATGGTCCCGAGTAAAGGCACAGTTTTTTTTTTTTCACAAAGCATAGTCAATGGGGTCACCTTTAGTTGTTCCTATCTCACTTATCAGTTAGTACTTTCTTTCATCCAAGTTAGTGAACTTTCAGCAGTTATCCAACACTGAAAACAGAAGGATACACTACTATTGGACAGCCCTTGCTGCCTAAACTTGTGTTATGAAAGGCATACCGCGTAATAAATATGTTCTTTTATATTACAATAGTGGGTGTCACAAGGTTCAGAAGTTATAGAAATTGATACTTGAATAACAGGAAAACCTCGTCATCTTCCATAAAAATGGCTGAGGATGGATCACTCTTTGACATCTTTTCCTGGCCCTCCTTAAAACCAGGGAGCATGTCTGCAATTCACGTTAAGGGAGTAATACAATTTTTGACAATGTTTTTTTTTTTTCAGAAAGAAGGCTTAGCATCCCAATTAATTTGACAGACCAAAAGAAAAGTGTCCCGCGCTGTTTAATTACAGAAGATAAAGGTTTAATCAACATGCAAGGGCAGATTAGGATACGATGTGACAAAATAATCGGTTTGTTTTTCCTTTTGATGTCGGTACAGTACTCCCTGGCTAGCACATTGACCTTCCTTTGGTCCATGCCCAACTGGCAAATGTCTGCCTACAAAAGGAAGGGATAATTAGAATAAGCTTCATGCCTATATGAAATTCTGGATTACAGATTCATGTACACACGCTCTCTTTACACTGTGACTCAAGGTACTTCTCAAAAGGCATGGTGTGCAATAGCATAAATTTACTAACCTTCAAGAAAAATATATCAGCACACTGCATACAAGGATAGAATATTTGGGCAGCTGTCAACTCATCCGAATCATTTCGACCCATAATCTGACAACATCTGTGAGCCAAAAATATATACTCACTTGCAAGTTATAAAATTGCAGTTACACTTCAGGCTTTGGAAGTGAAGAAGCCATTAGACGAACATATGCAATCCAAATGTGGTTACCTCATTATTCTTTTGACATTATTTTTACAGGCAATGTCCATTACAAGTGGCCAATATTCATTTGCACGATTATTGATTTCTTCTGAGGACCACAAGAATTCCACACCATCAAGATTCATACCAGCTGCTCTCCAAATCTCAATCATGTACCGTCCAACAGTCTGGATTTTTTTTAGATCACCCCCCATCTTATTGTTGAGCTGAGCAAACCAGTCTGCTATCCAAATTTTTACTTTGCATCCAGCCCTGACCATCTTGTTAACATTGATTGTCTTCACAATGCCCTGACAATATACAAGATGATCAATCAAAACAATCATTTGTTCAAATATTGTAAGCCTAAAACTTTTGCACATCTAAGCTTCATGCATCACTAAAAAAAACAGCCCACAATGAGTCATGGCAGAAGAGGAAGAACACAACAAGCTCATGTAGTGAATGTTGTAGCCAAAGATGAGGTAATGCAGCATGTTTTCAATTTGTGGAACAAGAATAAACCTCAAAGTATAGGAACAGTGAACTAGAGTATTCTTCTTCTCTGGTCGTGGTTCTTAGAAAAATATCACCATCATAGTTGTTTACTATCCAAACCAATGCACGCACCGTCTAGCATATATCAGATTAACATATGCACCAAACTTAGTTTCACCCATCTGGTCCATACAGTGAATAAAGCAAACTTTATAGGTCTATAGGTACATCCAACCCAAATTTCAAATTTATTTGCACAGAGAACTTAAAGCAAGCATATTAGTGCAAATCTCCACTCCCCAGCTAGGTGAAATCATGGTAATTCCATTGAATCTTTATGTAGAGACCAAGTTAACTTCTCAGTAAGTAGCATTCCAGAGAAAAACATCATGTACCACATAAATTATCAGGTAAAATCCATTTTTATCCCTTGAACTTTCACTAAATTCCTATTTTCAACCTCAACTACGAACCCATATATTTTTCAACCCCAAACCTTAAAAACCGGGTCAAGTCCCAAGACTAATATTTTAATGGTGTTTTTTACCACATCTAAAACAACAAAAATATGTTAAACTATTCTAGTTGCTAATATTATAGTGACTCAACATGCCAAACATTTCCCGGGGAAATCCACCCCCCCCCCCCCCCCCCCCCAAATCTTCAATCCTCACACAATGTAGTGATAAGAGAAGGAGATGCAAGGAAGAAGGATATAAAGCATATGATATGTGAAGCAATGCCGTGCTAGCAACCAATATAGCATAGCAATGTGATTCTCAACATGGATAAAACCACAACTAAAAACAATCATGGGAGAAGTTTGTCTGGTTTCAAAAGTTTAGGCTGTTTTATAGTTCAAGGTGAAAGATGAACTTTGATGGAAGTTTGAGGCCTAAAAATGGACTTTACCCTAAATGAACTCGGTAGCCACATAGGAGCACATTTTGATGATAATAATACCCTACAAAGTACAAATGTGCATATCCCTTCAAAAAATTGCATTGAAGATTGAAACTTTGGAAGAAAAATTCTATATTTCACCTGTCCTGATAAATTTATGCTGGTACTTTTTAATTTCCCCCATGATGAATTGAACTCTAGTCTCTAGGCAGCCGATGCGAAATTCGATTTCTTCTACAAGAAACTTATAACTATTTCAGTTCAAGTTGCAACATAAGTAGCAACACAGATAGTTGAGACCTTGAGCCTCCGTTTGGCTACGCGGTGGATTCAGATAATCCCAATAGCTTTACAAATTTTGGTGTCTGGCAAACTGATTTTTCCTTTAGTTTGGTGTTACAAAGGGTAATATTATTACAGTTTGAAAATATAAAACAATTGAGGGAATTATGAGGGTTAGATAACATATTTTAAAACAATTCGATCGGCAAAACAAACAAAGAAAGATTGTAAGTTTTAGTTTGCACAGCAATTTAAAAAAGGATAAGCACAGGGCAGCAACCACAAACCGAGCCTGGGAATTAGATCGATCTAAAGGGGGGAGAGGCGGCGGATTCACCGAACCTGGGCAATGTGCATGCGGCCGGAGGGCTCAAATCCGTCGTAGCAGATGGGGACGGGCTTTTTCTGCAGCAGATTCATGAGCTCGTCCTCCTGGATACACTCCTCGCCGATGCCCCGCAGCAACTCGAACCGGTCTTGGAGGCTCATGGCCGCCATGCCCGGGGCGAGGTCCTCTACGGCGGAAGAAGAGGAGGACGCCGAGGCGTCGGCGGAGCTACCGGACGGCGCCGAAGGGTCCATGTCGGCGGCGGCGGCGGGCCTGCGTGGGCTGGCTGTGTCCTTCCTTCCTGTAGTATGTGCGAGGCGGCGGGCGGCTACCACTAGGGGCACTAGGGTTTTTATCTGTGAGCTCCGGACCTGGCTCGCGTCACCGACAAGTGGGCCCCGCAGTACTCACCGTGGCCCAACGCTAACGGAGCTCTCCCTCCGACAAGCGGGCCCAGAGCAGATTCTTCGCTGACCTCATCATTCGCCTCGCCGCCGCCCGCCTGTTTTCTCGGTCGCGTGCTAGTCGCCCTGAGAAGAAGACCCGCTACAGTAGGGCTCCAAAATCCAATCCTCCGATGATGGCTCATCTGGCGCCGCTCTTCCTCCTCCTCCTCCTCCTCCTCCTCCCGCTCCACGCCGCCGCCACGCCGTCCGCCCACCCGGCCTACCCCAACGAGCCGCCGTCCTGCGCGGCGGCGGTGCCGGTGCCGGAGCGGCGGGAGGCGCATGGCGGGGGGCGCATCCTGGACATAACCCACTACTACCGGGAGGACATGCCGTCGTGGGAGTCGGACGGCGGGGTCGGCCAATTCCTGTGGCTCCCCGCCTCCATGCGCAACGGTTCCCGCGCCAACAACTCCGAGATGCGCCTGCCCACCCACACCGGCACCCACGTAGACGCCCCGGGCCACGTCTTCCAGCACTACTTCGACGCCGGCTTCGACGTCGACTCCCTCGACCTCGAAGTGCTCAATGGTTGGTTAGCTCAAGCACTCAATCGCATCATGGATTGATTGGATTCCTTCCTTTTGCTTATTTTGTGATTTTTTTTTGATTGTATACTAGTATGTGGGAATTTTTCATTGCCGATCTGAGAGAGAGAGAGAGAGAGAGAGAGAGAGAGAGAGAGGGAGAGGGAGAGGGAGAGGGAGAGAGAGGGAGAGAGAGAGAGTTAATTGAAAATGTTAAGGATTTGAGGTATTATTACTAGAAACTATTGGAATATATGGCGTGGCTTTGAGCCTTCGGATCTGCGATGCAAAGTTTGTAGATTAGATGAATGACAGCTATGAGATTCGAGCTTTTCTGTGACATCCATGAAGCAGATTTCAACAGGAGGAGAGGAACAGTCCATGTGTTCCTTGTGTAAGTGAGTGAAGGGAGTTTGGGGCTAAAAACCTACATGACATCAATGAAATTAGCCTAATGAAACCCCTCTTTCTAGTTCTTCCTACTTCCAGTTCTCGAAGCATTCCCATATTTCTTGTTTCGTGTCTCAGTTTGATCTCAGATCACCATAATCTTCCCATGGACAATCTTGACTAGTTAGTTCGGTGGTGGAGTTCTCATGTTGTTGCGATTCTTTTGCAATAGGAAATTTGTGCCAGCTATTCTGGATAAAATGAACACATGGTATTCTGTTGGTAGCAGATTTCCATCAGAAGTTTCCCCAATTAAAATTGGTGCTACCATCCAAACTGTATTTTAGTGTACAAATTACAGTGCTATTCTTTTGGAGAAAGACGTGTCATGGTATGGATATGATGTCTTAACCTCTAATTCGGCAATTCGAATACCCAAGCTGAAAATCCAATGTCCACAACTGCATAATCATGTCTTATACTGACATTGGAATCATTACATGGCAACCAATTAGATCTACATGAGAATATATGGAATTGCATTACATTAACAACTGATTTTCTGTTACAGGTCTGGCATTGTTAGTTGATGTTCCAAGAGATGATAATATTACAGGTAACTAATTCTTGTTGTTTAATCCATCAAGATACTGTTAGCATAGTAAAATTGTAGTTATTGTTTACTTATCTCAGCATGTGTTAGTCAAACCTAACTATTGAATTTATTGTATTCGATGCAGCTAAAATGATGGAATCATTACATATTCCTAAAGGAATTCAACGAGTGCTATTTAGAACACTAAATACTGACAGGTAATGGACTCCAGCATAGTTATATGCTCATTTGTGGTAAGCATGCCTAGTTAACTGTTATGCCAAAAAAAAATCCATTATATATATGAGCACACATATAGTTCAAAATCTTCTGCTTTATCTGTTCAGCATGGTAAAGGCATTCTTTCTCTCTTCCTTAATCTATGTCTACCGACCCTCTATATTTCCTTCTGAGATCCACCCCATTGATTGTTAAATCTGTTGGCAGTGGGTCCTACTGTATACTCCTTGCATTTACATTTAGTTTACTCACTCTTGTTTTCTCAGATATTTTAACATCATGATTAATTGAGCTCATTATGCTACTAGAGCCACTAGCCAAAATCACCACCTTTTGGTTTCTATATGAAAACCCAAAGTGCGTGGAGTTTTTTTAGTTGCTGCAACGGCATGCCCTTTTCATGTGTTTCTCTATCTATTTAGAAATGATGCGCTGCTGTTTACCCTATTTCTTCCTAATTGTGTATTTTGTGCATCCGTAGTCTACGGATAGTTTTATTGCGTATTCTTATAATCTATCTATTATGGAATTTCCTGAAATACCGCACTTAGTAAAGCTGTCATCTTGCAGGCAACTAATGTGGAAGAAAGAATTTGACACTAGTTATGTGGGTTTTATGGAGGATGGCGCACAATGGTTGGTAGACAACACAGATATTAAACTTGTCGGTGAGTTTGAAGTAGCAATGCATCCTTTTGAGGTTCCTTCACTATATTTGTAACCGACTCTTATATTATTTAGCGTATGCAACTATCCGTACAATTGACTCTTATCTTAAGCTTGCTCATGCAAATGATTATTGTTTTGGCATGGTTTGCTTTGCAACTTTTTGTTTTTACAAATATATCTCCAATGAGACTTTTGCTAAAAATGGACCCTAAGCAGAGAGGTGACATTTGGCGCTGTGTGTACATAGCACAACATAGCAAGATTTGGCATCGTGTAGGTTTCTGTATGGATGTTGCGTGGAACCTTATGGTGTGTTTGGTTGGGCGTATGAGACTGGATGGGAGATGGCCGCCCGAGTTTTTGTGGTGTTTGGTTGGAGGGCATGATGGATGGGGCGGCCCGGAATAGGGAATATTCCCTCAATATGCTGGATGAGTGCATATGGCCGATTTGGCTGGATGAAGCCATCCAGTTTTGGACTGGGTGATGTGTCCTGTTCTGATTTGCTGTGGTTGGTTTGATTTCGTGTTAAGCAAGCTCCAAATGATTTTTTCTCGTAAACCGTTTATCTAATTTATGATTTGATTACACAATTATATTTGTTATAATTAAATCTTTAAAACAAGATCTCGGATGATTATATTTTGATAAAAAAATATATATGACAAATGGGTCCCACTAACTTTTGGTTTTTCCCATCCATGCTATATCCCTCCAACCAAACAAGAAATTGGATCGCCATATCCATACAAACCAAACAAAAAATTGGATCACCATATCCAACAAAATATGGATGGCTATATCCTATCCATGCATGACCGTGAACCAAACACACCCTTAGTGGCTCCACTGGCCATTTTACATGCCAGCCTACATGTTGTTCAATCCTGCAGCATCGTGTTATGAACAGACGGCACCAAATGTCATAGCACCATTTGGAAGGGTTCTATTTCTGTAAAAAGTTTTTTCTAGGGGTCCATTTGTAAAAAAATGTTTTCCGAAAGGTCTACTTTGTGAAAATCACTAGTCTATTCCTGTTTTTTTTTTTGGGTACCATTTATCATATTAGATTAAAATTACAGTGTCTTCCTTCCAAAAACATATTATTGTTTCTTGTACTTACGGACTTACCCTCCCTTGATAATCATCTCAATGTCTAGTTTGGTCCGATGAATAAGCATTTAGCTGGAAGCCTCTTCTCATGTTTCACAAGTGTGCATCCCCATCTTACATGTCTTCCTGTTTGAGCAATGTAATTGTGCAAATTTGCACTTCTAATGTGATGATCTTCAGAAATCATGACCTTAAGGGACTTCAAAGAGTTTTTGTGTGTTATTTCATACTAGTATACTTGAACTCATCTTTCAGGATATTGTGTGTCTCAGGCAGAAGCAGACATCAGCTGACCTTCTGTTCAAGGATGATATTAATATTGAATAGCACGTTTGCAGGTTTAAGTTTGTGTCACGAGATAGGTCTTGAAACATATAACACCTATGGAAATGGTATACTGATCTAGTATGGTTGCCTGGGGGATGGGGTACTGCATGCTGTGTATACTCCATGCGACATAGCATTAGCTCCTGTGAAAATCCAGAATTATTATGTACTTGTATATAAAAAACATGGGCCAAAACTAATAAGTTTCTGAGTACCCTGGGTCAGCTTTTTCTTTTTTTTAATATTGAATGATTTTTTTTTCAAATAATAGTGTCTGGAGCATACATGACATGCTAACTAATACACATTTTTCTATGAATCAATGCTGAAAAACCAGAGAAAAAAATTACTTAGGAACAAAAGATTTTTCTTGACTTGTGACCCTCCACTTAAGGTCCTATTTAATCAAGTAGTGATGCAAATGAATAAGATTGAAAGCATGGTAATTAAAGTCAAGTAGGAAATGTCATGGTCTGTTTTGACACTTTTTGGTAGATAATGCTCCTTTTTTTTGTTTTTTAGTTCTTTCATTCACTTTCTATGTAGAGAAAATTCCTTGTGTACACCTCAGAACTCTCTCAATCCCTTCTATGCACCTGAAAAATACCGAATCCCTTGTGTGCCCTCGAAAATTTGTTTGGAACCCTTGCGTACCCCTCCCGTCAAGTTTCTGTCAGTTTAGATGTTAATTTTCTTAGAAATGTCCATTATGCCCTTTGAGAATGGTGGATATGAAATTTGATCATAGTTGGCTGATTAAAGAGCTCCCTATATGTTGAATATTTTTTTTCATGATGTGTGCTTTATGATACTAAATAATCAGTTGATAGAAAATTTAAAATAAATTTTGAGAAAAGTTAGTACACTGCAATTTTGAAAATAAATAAGTGGATATAGCTAGCTGAAAATACTAAGATTAGTACATTGCAATTTTAAAAATAAATATGTGGCTATAACTAGCTGAAAATACTAAGATTAGCTGAAAATACTAGATTTAGTATTTTCAGCTAATCTTAGTATTTTCAGCTAGTTATAGCCACATATTTATTTTTAAAATTGCAATGTACTATTTTTTTAAAAAAATATTTTAAATTTTATATCCACTAATTATTTATGATAGCACACATCATACAAAAAAATTATTTAATATATAGCAAGCTCTCTAATCAGCCAACTATAATCAAATTCCATGCATGCCCTCCATTCTCAAAGGGCATAATGGACATTTCTAAGCAAATTAACATCTAAACTGACAGAGACTTGACGGGAGGGGTACGCAAGGGTTCTAAACAAATTTTCGAGGGCACACAAGGGATTCGGTATTTTTTAGGTGCATATAAGGGATTGAGAGAGTTTTGAGGTGTACACAAGGAATTTTCTCTATGTATGTACTATCAGGGCAAACTTCTGTATTCTTGTTTATTTAACCTTGGACGATAGTGCTCTAGAGGTAATATTTTTATCGTGGTGGTGTGGTGCCCTACACTACAGTTATTGTTCTGTAATTTCTCATTTCTGTTGTCATTTTCAGGAATAGACTATTTGTCTGTTGCAGCTTTTGATGACTTGATCCCGTCACATTTAGTTCTTCTCAAAAACAGGGTATGGACATGTTTCCTGGAGTAATTTTGTTATGTTCACATTCACTTTCAGAATATTTATGGCTCTTTTATCTTTGTTATTCATCTTACGTTTGTTCTGATGTTCTGAACTTTATCTTGCCTATCCTGTATTTCCTATACTCGGTCACTTACAACATCCAGCTTCCAATAGAAATCTGATAGGAATGCGATGTAGTTAAGAAATAGTTGAGTGTTGATATATATTGTCCTCACCTAAAATTTTCTTATTCTTCCTAGCTTGGCTATGTTGAATTCAATGTGCTAATATCCTGTTAGGCTTCCTGATGACATTAATTTCTAAACTGAACAATGTAAAGTTGAAAAAGTTGATTGACAATTCGGTATGATATATCAAAGTATCCAAGGATACCAGTAGTCACTCCTGAAATTTGTTGTGCCATTTTTTTTCTACGAAGACTAATTTATGTGTGGCACTCTGCCCAAAAGAAAAAGTGAGGCACTGTTGGCACAGCACGATATATTACACAAACTGATATGTGCCATATGGCAGAGTCAAACTTGTCCATACACTTGCAAGATGCGGATAAATCACCAGACTCCAGTGTGCATATAACACAAGTGAGCACCTCTAGATATATGGAATGACAAGAAAAAAAGTTTGGTAGCAGGAATACCCACAATCTGGTATCAACTTAATTAGGAGTACCATGTTTTTCCAAGAAGCTGATGTGCTTATGAGTGTTGCAGCTCATATTCTGCCGTATGGAATGTGAATGTTACCCTACGGGTATGATCGACGTAATATATTCTATTTTGTTTTTCAGGATATCATTCTTGTCGAGGGCCTCAAACTGGAAAATATCATGCCTGGGATATACTCCTTGCACTGCCTGCCACTTCGGCTGCGGGGTGCTGAAGGTTCACCAATCAGATGCATCCTTATAAAGTGAAGGGGACTAGGATCAGTGCGTTTGCTAGTATCAATGCAACTTCAGTTGCACTGGATCACTGCATGGTGAGAAATCCATTTCATAACAACGTGTTTCATACTATATCAACCGTTCAGCCTCAATGCTTATTTCTGAATTTATCCGTTGCTTATGCCCAGATGCAGGTCTGCCAAATAAAATTGTGTCATGTCGGTGCTAAGCTCTTGGACTTGGAAGCTGTACAGCATAGTCGTAAAACACACAACTATCGATGAACTGCACAATGGGCACATTCTGCGACTTCTCTTTTGAACAAACTCAATTGAAGTTTAGGGCCCCTTTGATTTGTATGAAAAATGTAGGAATTTTGGAGGATTTCAATTCTATGAAGGCCTTTGAAATAAAGAATTGAATCATATCCAATTCTTTAAAATTCCTATGGAATAGGTAATTCTATGTACATTTTGAAGGAAAGTTAGTAAGAGGTCTAACCTCCAAGTCTATCTCTCTCATCTGATTCCCGTGTTTATTCTGTGGTCCAATCAAACGGTTATTCCTGTGTTTTGCAATCCTCTATTTTACAATTGTATTCCTGCAAGAATATTGTGTTTTTCCTATTCCTTTGTTTTTTTATTCATACAATTCAAAGTGGCCCTTAGTCATATCATTGTGGAATTATTAGTGCTTCTCAGCAGGCATGGTGATGTTTTTCCCCCTCAGTTCCGTGTCAAGTGGTTGCATCAATTGGCAATTATAAACTTCATACCTAATATATAATTTCGTATGCATATGCATTTTCGAGTTGGATGAGATTCAATAGAATGTTTGATTCAATAGAATAGGATGAGATTTAATAAATGTTCCCTTGAAATTTGTTAAGAATTTAGGAGATTTGTTAATGACTCACTCTAATATATATACTTGACTAGCAAAGATGCCCGTGCATTGCAACGGGACAAAACAAAGAATAAGTTAAGAATATAGATATTGTTGTCAATACTTAGCATAATGAGATATTGGCATAGAAGAAAGGGGTGGTCGTTCTAAAAAGACCCGATAGTTTCACATGCAAGCGGAGTTTACTCTCGTAATACAAAATAAAGCCTTAAATAAAATTTCAGGCCTTAATTATGAGTTACATGCAATATATCGAGAAGCACGGAGAATTTGGTGTCTCAAATAAATATTGGAGAAAAAAATCGGCACTGGTATGAGATCATCAGTGCCGTTATTTAAATAAATCGGCACTGATGTATTTAGTATACATTTTTCACGGTTTTTCAACGGTTAATTGGATCCACACCATTATAAATATATTATAAATATAGTGTATTGAAAAAATACCATTGCAAATAAATCGGATGGATGCCACTACAATCTTCTAAAAATAGAACCATACCACTCCGTCACATCGTCGTCTTCATCCCCGTCCCCATCCCCTCAATTATTGCATCCATCATTGTTGGCTCCAATCTCCTCCCTCGCTGACGGCCAACTCCTTCTTCCTTGTCCCTCGCGCCTCCCTCGTGCTACTCCCCGACTTCTGCCGCCGTATGACCTCCTCTGTTTCCATCCCTCGCGCATCCCTCTCCTCGTTCCCCACCATCAGTCGCCGCTGACTTGAGTGGATCGGGGGCCTTGGGGCTAAGGCGGACTCCGCGAGCTTCGCACGTCGAGGAATGCTGCTACCAGCGTTGACTTGAGTCCCTACAGTGGAAGCCGATGAACACGTGCATGCGGATGCTTGGGACGAGGCACTTCTTCTCACCCTTCCAACATTGGACCAGCCGACCAAGTTGCAGAAGCTGGATGTGTGTACTGCAAGTCATCGAAACCAGCGTAGAACAGGTGAACGACAAGTTGGGTGAGGGACTCATATTGCTTGATCCTACCGTGGAAGATGTCGTTGAGGCTGAAGTGGTTCGTGCTTTCGTGGTGTACTAGCCCTCGTCGGTGTTCGCGTTGTCCACCGACTCGCCGAGGTCGCCGTTGCTAAGGTACACGCACATGTTGAATCACTGGTACAGGTACCACTCATGGCAGTTAGGTAGCATGTTGTCATTGAACTGTGGTGGCAGGTCGTGGATGTACCCCTTGCAAGCTCCGCATCTCCGGTGCCTTGTGCCACGACTGTCATTGTGACATCGCATGCAGACGAACGCCTTCTAAGCTGCTAGGAAAAGCTGAGTGTTCTCGCCGTCGGACGAGCGATTAACACGGTAAGCTGATCGGAGGCGCGTTGTCGAACTATCACGGAGACAGAGACGGCGATGTGATGGAGATAACAGAAATCATGACGGAGTACCACATTGTTCTAATTTTAGAAAAATTGCAGTGACATCCACCCGATTTTGTGAATAGTAATAATATTTTTCTAATAAGTTGTATTTGTAGTGGCATTGATCCAATTAATTTTTTCTTACCTACCATTGATTAATTAATTAACGTATTTTTTTTTAAAAAAACAACGAATTAATTGGAGCCGATCCTATCCATCCGGCTGTTTTGTTCCAGCTCCATTGTCGATCAAGCCGAATAAAAAAACAACGAACAAAAAAGAACAGACATCGAAGCCGATCCTTCCTATCCATCCGCCCTCTCGCTCTCCGTCCGTCCTTCGCCTTCGCTCCCCATCTCTCCCTGCTAGCGACGCCGCTATGAGCGCACTCCCGCCCCCGCGCCACCACCGCCATCGCGTGCCGTTTCTCTCCAGTGTGTAGGCCGCCGGATCCGGCCGCCTAGAAGCCGGGGGCCACCGGATCCAGCCACCTTGAAGCCAGGCGCGGCCGGATCTGCGGGGAAGCAGTGGCAGTGGTGATGGTCTCATCTTCCAACGAGCAGCGGCTGCCTCCCCCATCTCCTTGATAAGCGGGTGGCGATGCGGTTCGAGGGTGATGATGGATGAGAGGGAGATTGACCATAGCGCCACAGGTTTTCCCCTCTATTCCCTTCTCTCCTCAACCCAATCCAATCCCTCGTACCTGTTATGAAACAACATGGTGATCTAATGGATCGCAATTGAAGGCAACCGCGCCTCTTCTCTAGGCGCTCCTTGACAATAGACACGATGCCACTCCTTCCCCATCTATAAATTGTACTGCACTGATCAATAAAGAAATCCGCTCATTTATTCCCTACATTCTTGTGTTAAATTCTCTCTCGCTCAATCTCTCAATCTCTCGCTCAATCAATTCTATCCACGTTCAACACGTTATTAGAGAGCGAAGGCGAAGGAGATCGCGAAGTGAAAGAAGGGAGAAACATCGCTTTTGATCTAACAGAAAAGCAAATAGAAGAATCATTAGAGAAGGTACGATACCTATCTTTTCATTGGATCATGGATGTCGTTCTCGGCCTCCCTCGCCATCAGCGCGCATGCCGGCTCTGCCATTTTCTTCGCCGACCTATGAGGAGCACACGCTGGGGATCACGCGGAGGCAGGGCTAGGGTTGGTGGCCGCCGCCACTACCCTCGCCGCCATGTGACTGCAACTCCGGTTGTGGTTCCCCCGCCCGTCCCTGTTGTGCCTCCTCCTCCGCCTCCGGTTGCCGAAGCACCTCACCGGATCCTCGTGTAGGGGGTGCAGTACTGCGCCCACCACAGATGGACGGCAGTGGTGACACTACCCGGCGAGCCATGTGCTCTTCCCCCGGAGATGGAGTCGCAGCCGCCACCATCAACCGCTCCTTCACCACCTCCACCGACACCAAGCCGACGCCAACGCCGTTCCCCCACTCCCGCGCCAGCGGGGTCTGGCCGGACCGGTACCCTGGCTGCGCGCACGGGGGAGCCGCCCTTCTTCAATCCGTCCTCGTCTCGTCGTCACGCCAGTGAAGCCGCCGCTCGCCGTCCCGGCCTCCGCCACATCTTCATCGCCGTCCCCCATGGCTCTCCTAGCCGTACACTCCCTAACGGGGTGCTGGGGAATGGCGTCAGGGCTCGGCCGGCCTCCGACTCCGACGAGGATTGGGAGCCGTCAGCCTAATCCGGCTGGCAAACCGCCAGCGGACGGAGGGGCGGTCGGGGCGGTAGTGGATGGTGGATGGCGACGGCGGTGGATGGCGGATGGCGACGACGGTGAGGCGGCAGAGGAAATGGATGGAGACGGCGGTGGACTCTGTGGCGGTGGCGTCGGCGGCGCCCCCAACGGCGGCGTCGGCGGCGCACCTCGGCTGCGTCGGCGGCGTTCCCCACGGCGACGTCGGCGGCGGATGAACGGCGCCCCCCTCCTGCCTTTTTATTAATTTACCTCTGTAAATTGATAATGTTAACCATGATTGTAGGGACATGGCAACAAAAGAGTTCGACGAAATCGCCCTCGATAGGACTAACTATCCCATCTGGGCTTCCGATATCAAAATCAATTTTGCCTCTCGGGGGATTTTAAATACAATTGAGGAACCCAATGATGGGGATCCGCAAATTGAGCCCAGGAAGCTCAATACAACCCTTTTTCTTTTAAGACTCTACATTCACAAGGATCTCAAACATGAATATATGTTAGAGACGAGCCCTCTCAACCCTTGGAAAGCTCTAAAAGAGCGTTATGATCAGCAAAAGGAACTCATTTGGCCTGAGGCTAATTATGAGAGGGTTCATTTACGCCTTCAGGACTTTAAAACTGTGGCAGAATACAACCATGCTGTTCATAACATTTGTTCCAGGTTGAAGTTTTGCGAACAAGAGCCAACGGAGGCAGAGAAGATAGAGAAAACTCTATCAACTATGCTTCCGGAGGACAGGATACTGCTCAACAGTATCGTGCTAAAAATTTCCAGAAACATTCTCTGCTTATACATACATTGACTCAGGCAGAAAGACACTATGAGCTTTCTTTAAAGAATGCCCAACAGCGCCCATCGGGCTCTGCTCCACTGCCTAAGGTGCACTTCAATGTACAGAATAATGCTGAGAATAAGAAAGCATTCAAGGGAAATTCTTCGAATAATCCTAAGAATCTGACTGGAAAGCGCAAACGCAACAATAACAGGCACAAATTCAAGGGTCAAAAGAAAGGAAAAGGGAAGGGTAAGGCACCACAACCTCGTAGCAATGGCAACAAGCATTGCAACAGGTGTGGATCTGACACTCATGTCGCTAAAGACTGCCGCATCCCGAAACATCTTGTTCTCTTGTACCAAAAATCCCTTAAGGACAAAAAGTCTTCTGAGAACCCAAGATTTGGAGCCCAATTCAATCTTACAGATGAAGAGCGCCCTGAGGTTGCAAGTTCTCACCAGGCTCCTGTTGAACCAGAGAGCAACCTCAATGTTCTCCCAGAAGATGTCGCTCCACTCTCTGCGATGGACGATATGTTCATCGAATACTGCTCAATGGACCTACTTGGTGATTTGCAATAATCTCGGTGCGTCCCACTTAGAGATGAAGCTGCTCTTATCTCAGTGTGCTTGAAACAGTATATTGATATCCTATAAGTTTGCCAAACAATATTGGTTGTAATAAGTAGATAAGTACGAACTCCCTTATATTGTAAGGTTGTATTGCTTGCTAGTCATTAGAGTATGTACTTTTAACATATGTAAACGTCATACTATGTATTTATGTATTTGATGTTTTAATTATTGTATGTATGTATATATATTGGATAAAGAATTCTTAATCAAGCAATTCTTCTTTCATTATAGATGTCTAAGGATATCGCTCCGATTGGAGATGA